TCCCAGATTTCTGACCTCAATAACTGGGTGGATGGGGGGTGGCACCGTCCACTAAGACAAAGACGTCAGGAAGAGGAGATGTTGGAGACGTGAGGTGATGATTTCGTTTTGGTAAGTTGAATTTAAAGTGACTCTGAAACATCCAATTGAATGATTCCTGTAGGCAGCTGGACGGAGATCTGGGTCAGAGATACAGATCTGAGTCACCACATACAATTAATTCATAGTTGAAACCAGGGACATGGATGGATAACCCAGAGAGAGAATGCAGAGTGAGAAAAGATGAGGGATGAGGGCTGAATCCTGGGGAACACCAATGATTAAGTGAAGGATAGAGAAAGGGGAACATGCAAAGAGACTAGAGAACAGGCAGCCAGAGAATTTGGAAGGAAACCAAGATAGAATTTTGTTCTTTAAACTAGGGGGGAGGGAGTTTAAAGAAAGAAAAAATGGGCACGCCTGGGTGGCACAGTCTGTTAAACATCCGACTCTTGGTTTTGGCTCAGGTCATGATCTCAGGGTCTTGAGATCAGCTCCACAATCAGCATGCTTGGGATTCTCTCTCCCTTTCCCTCTCCCTCTTCCCCTCCCCTCCCCTCCCCTCCCCTCCTGGCATGTGCACATGTGCTCTCTCTCTTTGTGTCTCTAAAAAAGAAAGAAAGAAAAATGGTGAATGAGTGTCAAATGATTGCATAATGATTTGGAGTTGGACAGACGTGGGTGTGAAGCCTGACTTTGCTACTCACTAGCAATGACCCCTTGGACTCATCACTAGAACTTTATAAGTGTTTGTAAAAGAAGGTTAATAATATTACTTATCTAATAGTAATAGATAAGAGTAGTAATCTAACAGTTATTTTGAGGATTCAATTGGATAATGTATATAAAAAAACTGTTAGTGTAGTGCCTGGCACATAATAAACTGTCACTATAAGCTGGTTACTAAAAAGAAGAAAAATAGGCACTGAAAAGGAGCCATTCAATTTAAAACTTGACCACACTATAGTAATTTCAGAGAAGCCATGAGGATGTAAATCTAAATGAAATACATTGAAGAGTGTATGTGAGGTGAAAAAGTAGCCAATGATCTTGGCAATAAAGATGAGAAATTAGGTGTGCCAGAGAAAAATAAGGAACTGAGCATAAGACTTCCTCACCACCCAATTTTTCTTTTTAAATAGAAGGGGGAATCTTGTATGTTGCTAGGCTTTGGGGAACAATTATAGAGAGACAAGTTTAAAATACAAGGGACTGAACATCACCACTATTTCAGTCTTTGAGACACAACTTTGCACACTTTCTACCTTTGTACAAACTTTCTACCATTTTGTTCCTGTTCCAAACCCTTCGAGGAATCCCTATTGTCTAAACAATATTATTCAAACGCCTTCCCAACATCCAAGGTCTTCCACCTTGAATTCTTGATTCGTGCTCCCACCTACTTTTACAACGTTCTCTCTTTCTCTAACCTGGGGACCCCTCCAGTTGAATTTCTCTCCTCACCCCTTCAGGAGGTTTCTTTACATAACTTCTTTCCTTGTCTTCACTTACCTCTCACCTCTGGCCCATGTTCAGGCAACTCAAGTCTCACTCCCTCCAGAAAGCATGTCCTGAAACACTGCACTTTTCAGTGGCCACCTTCTCCTTTCTAACCCTTCTAGAACTAAAGTAGAGGTTGACCTAACCCTTCTAGAACTAAAGTAGAGGTTGACCTAACCCTTCTAGAACTAAAGTAGAGGTTGACCTACCCACACTTTGGCCAGCCCACAAAGTGATTTCTGTTGTTGTTTTATCTGGATTAGCTTCCAAGTTGACAAATCAGAAATTTTCAGATAAAACTCTGAATTTTCAGCTTCTCTTTAAAAATCAGAAGATGGGGGCGCCTGGGTGGCTCAGTCGGTTAAGCGGCTGCCTTCGGCTCAGGTCATGATCCCAGGGTCCTGGGATCGAGCCCCACGTCCGGCTCCCTGCTCGGCGGAGAGCCTGCTTCTCCCTCTCCCTCTGCCTGCCACTCTGCCTGCTTGTGCTGTCTCTCTATCTGTCGAATAAATAAATAAAATCTTTAAAAAAAAATAAAAATAAAAAAATAAAAATCAGAAGATGGGGCGCCTGGGTGTCTCAGTCAGTTGAGTGGCTGCCTTTGGCTCGGGTCATGATCCCAAGGTCCTGGGATCCAGCTCCGCATTGGGCTCCCTGCTCGGCGGAGAGCCTGCTTCTCCCTCTCCCTCTGCCTGCCGCTCTGCCTACTTGTGCTCTCTCTCTACCTCTCTGTCAAATAAGTAAATAGAATACTTTAAAAATAAAATAAAAATCAGAAGATGTGTCAGTGAGTCCGCATCCCCTCTTGGCAGGAATGGGCTGGAGTTCATGGTAACAGCTGGCCCTTTGGCTAGGGCACAGACTCCAAATTTTATCCTTGCAGTTGCTCACTGTACCCATATGTGCCTGGCTCATGTAAGTATTTGAGTTTGTAACCCCAAGTCTAAACCATGGCTGGACACTTGGTGTGCACTACCTGGTGGTTGTTTAGCTTTATATTTATCATGTCTTCCAGAAAACTTCCACATGGGCATTTCCACACCCTCAGCCCATTTGGGGATCCCCCACAAAGGCTAGCACAGCAAGCTAAACCTAGGAGTGTTGTTAGTGTAAGGTAATTGAGGATGATGAGGATGAAAACTAATCTGTCTTTTCTTAAATAACCCATCACCCAATAAAACCAGTGACCCCATTCCAAAATTAAATACCAAGAAAAAAATTCCATACAAGGAAATAAAACAACCTAAGAATGCATTGGGAGTGAAGAGGGGAAGGCAGTCCTAGGAAGGTTGATTTCAGTGAAACCAGTTCTGGTCTTGCAGCTAGAGCAAGATGCTGAAATTTATCTGTTGTAGTTAGCTGGCAGATGTTTGTGATTTCTGTTTAAGGCTTCTTGCGAGAAGGCTCTGTTGGTCCCTATTTCCTCACTCATACCAAACCGCTGAACCCCAAAGGCAGGAAGAAAAAGAGGAGGGATGATGGATACTGGTGATGGACACTGGGTTGGAGACATGTAGGTGTAGAAATGGCTTTCAAGAATACCCCTATTACCCACTGTGCGGACTCATCTGGCATTATGACCCAAAGTCATAGGGCCAGAGGTCAGATCTTGATGTAAGTGGCATGTAGATTATGGAGGAGAGAGAAGGTTTGAAATGTATGGAGCCAGAAGCTAGACTATGGAAAATTCTTTCAATCATCACCCTTGTAAAATTGTCAGTGGAAGATTCAGTTATCACTAATACCTGGTATGGTAGCAAGCATCCAAGATAGGCCCCAGTGATCTCTGCCTCACATTATTCATATCCTGCTGAAACTTACTGCAAAACAGCCTTACAGTGGAATGGGAACTGTTAAAAAGAATAAGGTAGGCCTCTAAGCACTGATGACGGTTAAAAGATATTCAAGATACCTTGTACAGTGGGGAAAAAAGCAAACTGCAAAACAATATGGATAGTATGGATAGTTTTAGCTTGTTCATATCTTTAAAATACTGTATTTCTTTCATTCTAAAACATATGTCGTTTCAACTTTTAACATCTCTGATCAATGGCTGGGTTTTCTGGTTTTTGGTTTTTGGTGTTTTTTTGTTTTTTTGTTTTTTGTCTTAAGAGTTCTATAAAATAAGATGCGTCTTAGTGCTTTAGATTTGATGAAATACGATATAACTATATATAGTATACCAATCAGAACAGGACTGCAGCTTTAAAGCCCTGGGCTGAAAACCCCTTCAGCTGTTTGGCCAGCCTTCTGCTAAACTTTTCAGTTAAACACCCTAGGTGTTGTGGCACAGACAGAAATTGTTTATCAGGAACCTGCTTGTTAGGCCTGGTTGACATGGCAATCACAGAGTATTGTCATGTAAGGCAGGGATTGGCGTTAGGATTCTAATGTGCCTTCTCACCTTGAAAGGAGCTAAAAGCCCAAGTGTGAGGAGATCCGGCACTGCTCTGACCTGTACTGGCTGAGGCTCCCACACCAAGCTGGTACCTGGCGGAACAAGCCTGGGAGGAAAAGGTGCCTGGAGTCCCATCTGCTTTACCGACAAACGTATGCTTTCTTAGTAACAGAACTGTATCCTTTATCCAAGTTGGGTAAAATGTTGCCACCTAAGTAAGTTCTGTTGAGCCACTAACCCAGAGGGGATCTTGGGCTCCTCCTAGATCAGAGTAATAGACTTAGGTATATTTGCATACAAAAACGTTAGAAAGAATATATGCTAAATTAGTGAGAGATTATTTTGCAGGAATGAAATCAATGGAGAGTTAAATGTTCCACAGTTGTATATTACTTAAAAAATTTAAAAACCACTTATATGTATTACTTTTATAATCAGAGGAAAAAAAGGTAAACACATTCAAATTGGAAAGTACAGTATAATGTTAATAATGAAGTGGCCAGGCAATCACTGGTTTTTCCTTTCCCTACTCCAACCCTCACGAACCTTGTAATGAGCATGAATTATGTTTTCAATACAAAAATTTGTTTTAAGAAATAAAAGAAATTCCCCCAAACCCAATTTCACCTCTTCGAATAAAAATAAAGGCACAGATCCTTCAATATTGCATGGGGAAAGTAGTTTATTTCTAAATGAAAACTATACATGGTTCAGGCGACTTATTTATGAACCAAATTCTACGAGGGCCTACTGTCTGGTAGACACAGTTCTCGCGGCTTTCTCGCTTATTACCGCATTTGATTAAAAGATTTAAAAAAAATTTTTTTTAATCAAAGACGGTTTCAAGAAACCCTTAAGTTTCCAAAACCGCGTTCCCCCCCAAAACTAAGACACCCCTGGCGCCTCCCCTCTCACGTGACCCTGTGACCCGGGGAAGCCATCTTAAGCATCGCCTCGTAGAGGAAACTACATCTCCCAGAATCCTCTCGCATTGCGTCGTGCTGGCACTTTTACTGGCCGGGTCTTAGAGCTGAGCCTGTAGCCAGGCGCCATCTTTGACGCTGGCAGTCTTGGATTTCTGCTGGTGCTGCTGCTGTGAGGACGGCGGGCGCGGCTAAGAAAGAAGAAAGACGTGGCAGCAAGCGGGAGTCGGGGACAGTGTCGGCGGTTCGGTAAAGTTTCTGTTCTCTGGTAACTAGACCCGTTTTTTGATTCCCGGTGGCTCGGGGCAGGGGAGGTGGGGGAGAGGGCGAGGGGAGTGGCCGCGGCCTCCCCTCGCCCCTGGGTTGCGGCCTAGCCCGGGAAGTCAGAGCGGGTCCTTCGGCCCCGCCGTAACGACCCCCCCTCCCCCACCTCCCGCCCGCCGCCCTCGCCGGGGCGAGCTGGGAGCCCCGGGCTCCCGCTCTCAGTTCCATTCACCCCACCCCCATCCCTTGCACCCCACCCCCACGGCGCCTGCTCCTTCCCAACAACCTTCCTCCCCTCCCCCACATCCGGTGTTGGCGAAACCGTAGGAGCCCGGAGCAGCCCCGGAAAGCCGGCTTGTTCCCCGTCTCCCGGAGAGAGAAGTGACACTAGCTTGCTTTCTTCGCGACAACAGTTTCCCTAGTTTAGCGGACCCCCACTGCCTAAATCAAACTGAGTGTCAGGAGCTGAATTTACCTACTCTCATTCCTCTCCAGGGTCCCACTACTTGGGAGATATTCTCAAACTCCACATACTGAAAGCCACCGACCTTAATCCGGTATCCTACACCCCTTCCCTACTTTAATTAACTCCCACCCCAGCCCTCCGCATCGGAGTCAAGAACAACAGGGACACTTCCGTTCTCCTTGTAGGATTGATGAAACCGTAATGAAGAACACCCCCTAAAGCCCCATAATCGGTGCGGATTCCTATGGGGAAGGCCCATGTTGTTGACATCTTGCAGGCCCTGGTTCTGGACCTTGAGAAGGAGGCTGTGGAACTAGTGATAGCGATGCTTTTTAGGGTAAATGTATGTAGGTATTGGGGGAAGGGGAGGGATCACCCGAAAAGGAATGAAAGTGGTTTAAAGCTTAAATTTCAGTGTTTGCTGTTCATATAGAGTTCAACTCATGAGTTACTAGTACATTTACAGGCAGTAAAGCTTCTCCAGTCTGAAAATGTCTGAAAACTAAATTTGGATTAACTCTTGATACAAACAGTAAATTGAAAATGCAGCCTGTGACCTTTTAAATTTTTATTCTCAAAACACTTTTTTTAGCCATCCACAATTTTAAAAATTGTATTATTTATATTTAAAGCTGAAAGGGCTCAACTAGCATTTGCTGTTAATGACCAGTATGTGGAGTCTGCTTTATATTCCCAGAATTGACTTTTTGGGTTGTATTGTCAAATCACAGTCCTAAGTGATGAATGTTGAATGATGCACTATGTTTTTGTTTAAGTGAAATTTCCTGAAAATAATTAATTTCAGAATTAAGGGAAATTGATGTTACTACCATGACGCATCATTAAAATATATATTTTTAAAGCTGAAGGCATTTCAAGGAGATGTAGTTCTTGATGAAGCAGAAAGGACATGGGCCTGGGATTTGGAAGACCTGGCTTCTAGCTGCTACCAACTCTATGACTCTGGAAAAGTGGGCCTCAAGTTCTTTTTTTCTGTAACATGAAGAGATTGGACTATTTGAAAGCAGATTCAGAAGTTGGAAGGGATCATAAAGCCCTCTAAGAAAAGAGTTTGGGAATGTTCTCCATTGCTGTCACTTTTCCTCCAAAAATAACCTGGCTTGGAAGTCACTGTTCCAAAGGGAATTTGATTCCCCATAGAAATTGGAGACAAGGTAATGCAATTAGAGAGGAACAGCTGTATTTCTGCTTGAGTAACAAACCCACTAACAGATTCTGGTACGAATTTTGGAGACATAAAGAGAATGAGTGTATGTACCTTAAGTGTACCAGTTTCCTCACTCTCTCCTGGCAGACGATGCAGCACTTTTAGTGGTGCTGGGATTCTGGGATGTGTTCCTATTAATTCGAATACAGATGAAGAAGGTGTGGTAGAGGGAAAGATGGTGGCAGAAGGAATGGATAAAGAGGCAAAATTGCCTGCTAAAAAGAAAAGAAAGAAGGGTTTACGGATTAAGGGGAAAAGGCGAAGGAAAAAACTGATCCTTGCGAAAAAGTTTAAGGATTTGGGATCTGGGAGGCCTGTTGCAGATGCCCCTGCTTTATTAGCTTCCAGTGCCCATGAGCAGGATGAAGAAAGTCTTTTTGAGAGCAATATAGAAAAACAGATCTATCTACCTAGTACCAGAGCCAAGACCTCCATTGTATGGCACTTCTTTCATGTTGACCCCCAGTATACCTGGCGAGCTATTTGTAACCTCTGTGAAAAAAGTGTTAGCAGGGGCAAACCAGGCAGCCATCTGGGGACATCTACTCTACAACGACATCTGCAGGCAAGGCATTCACCTCACTGGACCAGGGCCAACAAATACGGAGTCACTAGTGGGGAGGAGGATTTTACTTTGGATGTGCCTTTATCTCCCTCTTCTGCTGGAAGCAGTGGAAGCTTTGAATATATGTCTACTGATCCATTAGATGAAAACAGAATGGGTAAGAAACGTGATAAATCCGTATCTGATGCCCTGAGGGCAGAAAGAGGGAGATTTCTCATCAAAAGTAATATTGTCAAGCATGCCTTAATTCCTGGAACAAGAGCCAAGACATCTGCAGTTTGGAATTTTTTTTATACTGATCCTCAGCACATCTCAAGAGCTGTGTGTAATATATGTAAAAGAAGTGTGAGCCGGGGTAGGCCAGGTTCTCACTTAGGAACTTCAACTCTTCAACGACACCTGCAGGCCACACATCCCATCCATTGGGCTGTTGCCAACAAAGACAGTTGTGCGGTTGGAAATGGATTAGATGAGGCTGAGACTGAGAGAAATGATCTCTTAAGCAATCCTCTGCATGGAGAGAAGTCTACAGGCAGCCATGATTTAACAGCTGAGGACCTTAGTGACTCTGATTCAGATGAACCTCCTGTGTTAGAGGTTGAAAATAGTAGAAGATCTGAGAGTCCTATTCCTATTGCGGAGCAAGACGCTCTGACACATGCACAGGAGGGAGAAACAACATATTCCGAAAATTCAGTCTCAAGTCAAATAAGTCAGGCAATTATTCAAATGATTGTGGAGGATATGCATCCTTACAACTACTTCTCAACTCCAGCCTTTCAGAGGTTCATGCAGATTGTGGCCCCTGACTATAGGTTACCATCTGAGACTTACTTTTTCACAAAGGCTGTACCTCAATTATATGATTGGGTCAGAGAAAAAATTTTCTTAACTTTGGAGAATGTTCAAAGCCAAAAGATCCACCTGACTGTGGACATATGGACCCATGACCCATCCACTGACTATTTCATTGTGACTGTACACTGGGTCTCTTTGGAAACTGCACCTTCTTCCAGTAATGGCAGGATCCCCAATTTCAGAAAGTGGGCAGTACTTTGTGTAACAGGGTTGGCCAAAGACTGCTTGATAACCAACATTTTACAAGAATTAAATGACCAGATTGGTCTGTGGCTTTCTCCTAATTTCCTTATTCCTAGCTTCATTGTTTCTGATAATTCCTCTAACGTGGTACATGCAATCAAAGATGGCGGTTTTACCCATGTGCCGTGCTTCCTGCATTGTTTAAATATAGTCATTCAGGACTTTTTCTGTGAGCACAAAAGCATTGAGAATATGTTAGTAGCTGCTAGGAAAACCTGTCATCATTTTAGTCATTCAGTCAAGGCCCGTCAGATTCTACAGGAGTTCCAAAATGATCACCAGCTTCCATGGAAGAATTTGAAGCAGGATGAAACTGGCCATTGGATTTCAACCTTTTATATGTTAAAATGGCTCTTGGAGCATTGCTACTCAGTTCACCATAGTCTTGGTAGAGCTAGTGGAGTTGTGCTCACCTCCCTTCAGTGGACTCTAATGACTTACGTTTGTGATATTCTTAAACCATTTGAGGAGGCCACCCAGAAAGTGAGTGTCAAGACCACAGGATTGAATCAGGTGCTCCCCCTAATCCATCATCTGCTCCTTTCTCTGCAGAAACTCAGAGAAGATTTTCAAATAAGAGGTATTACTCAGGCACTCAATCTGGTGGACAGTTTATCTCTGAAACTTGAAACTGATACCCTACTGAGTGCTATGCTTAAATCTAAGCCCTGTATCTTGGCTGCTTTGTTAGATCCTTGCTTTAAAAACAGTTTGGAAGACTTTTTCCCTCAAGGTGCTGATTTAGAAACTTATAAGCAGATCCTTGCAGAAGAAGTTTGCAATTATATGGAATCTTCAGAGGTCTGCCATATTGCAACTTCAGATGCTTCTGGTCCCTCAGCCATTGTAGGAGCTGATTCGTTTACCTCATCTATAAGAGAAGGCACCTCCAGTTCAGGGTCTTTTGATAGCTCAGCTGTAGATAATGTTGCCATTGGAAGCAAAAGCTTCATGTTTCCTTCTGCCATAGCAGTAGTGGATGAGTACTTCAAAGAGAAGTATTCAGAGATCTCAGGAGGTGGTGACCCTTTGATTTACTGGCAGAGGAAGGTGAGCATATGGCCAGCTTTGACCCAAGTTGCCATTCAGTATCTAAGCTGCCCCATGTGTAGTTGGCAGTCTGAATGTATCTTTACTGCAAATAGCCAGTTTCATCCAAAACAGATCATGAGCCTGGACTTTGACAATATAGAACAGCTGATGTTTTTGAAAATGAACTTGAAAAATGTTAACTATGATTATTCTACGTTGGTTCTGAGCTGGGATCCTGGGAATGAAGTTATTCAAAGCAATGAAAAAGAAATACTACCTTAATTTCTTTTTCCTTTTTCCATTTGAAATGGGCAACTTGTTGCTATGTTACTGTATCCTAATTGCTATAGTTGTTATATATAGTTATACTAATTATTCTTTATACGCAAATCTGGGGAAACCTAAAAACACAAAACGTGCTGAAAATTCCTCAGAGGATTAATAATCTGACAAAGCGAAGATTAAAAATTTCACAGTAGTAACTCATTGTAGCTGTCTCTTGAAATTTTGTTTATACCAGTTAAGAGAGAAAAGATACTTTTTAACTTAAAAAATATAGTGCAGCATTGAAAGGCTTTAGGCTATTTCTGGCTGGTAGATTGAACTTGTAATTGGTTTTAAGTAAAAATTTCTCCCATCATGGGAAGTTTGATTGCTCTGAAACCAATGAAATTGAGGGAAAAACACATACTAAGCAGGTATTCCTCCCCTTCTCTCCCATTTTTCTAGTTTTTTAAAAACCCTGATCCGTACAGCTTGGCAAAAGCAAAACTCATGAAATTTGGAAATTTCTAATTGCCTCCTCATACTGGTCAGCTTTATCATTTCAACTTACTGAGTGTGATAGAGTTACCCTTTATATTTAGGATTGGATCTATGTAAAAGGGAAACATTAGAAAACAATCAGGAAAAAATTACTTTTGGTCTTTGAATAGCCTTTTTTAACTTTCAGAAAATAGTGTAAAAACAATAAAATAAAGATTGTATGGGTACTTTTTACAAATTTATGGGCAAATGACATAATAAAAAGCTTACAAAAATTGAAAAAGATTGGGAATTGGAGTAAAAGCCCCAGGAGCATACTTTTGACAAACACAGTGTCCATTTCCCAAAGAATGTTTCTCTGATTTTAAGTGATCTTAAATGTCTTTAAATATATATGCTGAATGATCCATAATACTGTATTCTTAACTGTGAGGTGGTTTTTTGGCTTCTAATCTTAGCTAAACATAAGCACTCAGTATTTTCAGGTGTTAGGAATCATTACCTCACTGGTAAAATGAGAGAATTGATCTCAGTGATCTTTAAAGTCCCTTTCCACTCTTAAAGTATGTTTCTGTGGTTGAGTGGGAGGCCAGAAAATGATGACTTTTAGTAAAAGTCTATTACAAGTTTCAGACTGAATAACTAATGTAAGATCCCAATTTTTCCTTTTTTTCATTTTAGATTTGGGGATATTCCCTGCCCAAAAATTTCCTGGAAAATTGACTAGTATTAAGTGTGAGTAAAAGGTGTCCACTTTTTTTTAAGTTTTGATTTTAGTTTTGTCTTGGATAGTATTTGGCAAGATTTAGCCTAGAAATTATGTAGTATTTATTACATGAGAATCAAAATTGCTTTGTTACGGGGCTGGTTTCAAAATTTAGAACTCATTTCTATGTATCAAAATCGTTTTTTGTTTTTGTTTTTTGGGTTTTTTGTTTTTTGTTTTTTTAATTCTTAAATGGTAAATGTACCATTGTGAAATGAAATTTCAACTCCAAAAGTTTACCCTTTTACTAACTGGAGTAAATGAATAATTATAAAGTCTTTGGTTGTAGCCATCACTTGTGAAGAAAAAAAAAAAAAACGAAACCAGGCTGCCTAAGCAAGCCTTTGCAGGGCCAATATTGAATGTCATGCCAGTGACACTGGTGTTGCTATAAAGGAAGAAAAAGTCTTCCATTAGATAGAAGCTTTCTGGATTGTGACAGCGCCAGTTCAGGACGGCTGTAATGCTGCTCTGCCTTCCACAGCTCGCTGCACCACTCTGTAGTTACTCGGTAACTATACGTTTCTATCTTTTTTGGTTAAACACTCCCTGAAGATGAGAAATATGATGTACATACATCCGTATTATACACATTGATTCACGTGTAAGGATTTCCCTTCATGTTTATTCTGTGGGCTGGGCACAACTTAGTGTAACATAGCGATACACGTCATGATACTTTGGTATAAGAGTAAGTTCACTATTTTTATAATGAACCCAAATCTGAAGGCTTTTGTAGTGTATTTTAAAAGGGAAAACTTACCCAAATGTTTTATTTCTACACATTTGTGTATGTGTGTGTGTGTGTATAAGCCAGTTAGTATATATGTATATGAATATTGTATACATAAAACACTTGATATTTTTTCATACAAGTATGCTTTTATTATACAGATAATAAAGATGGGGGAAGGTTTCTGTTTTTTTCTTAATAGGTGAAGAAATCTTGAAGACCAGAAATTGGATCTTATTGAATTTTGGTGTTCTTTTTCTTTTTTCTTTTTCTTCTTTCTTTTTAAATTATATTGTTCGGCTATGGAAGATGGATTTTTTTTTTTCCAATAATCCTTTGACTCTGAAGTTCATCTTTAAATGAACTCTCTTTTTTGTTGGTTTTTATTTTTGTTTTTGTTTTTGAGGAGATAACTAAGCCTAGCTGTCTCCAGTCTGACAAAGGTTATTCGAATGGACTTAATCTCCCAGTAGTTGGGAGATGTTTTAAAAACACGTCCTGTGTTTGAATTGTGGCTGAGAGGTTTCCTTGGCAATGTGAGGAGGAAAATTCTTTCTGCCCCATTATTATTAATTCATGGATTGAGTGTTGGTTCGACCTACAGGCGTAATAGATTGGAACTCAGTGAAGACACAGAGGTTCCTGTTGAGAGCAACCAGCTAATGTAAGTGTGGGAATGGGTTTTTTCTCATTAAAGGAGTGAATATTTTTGTAATTTAAGGCATAATTTTCCTGGATCAGTAAGAAATTAAAAAACCATTGTCAGGATATTTTTTTCTTGTAATTACTTACAAGCTTTTGGTTTGGGGATGGAAACATTTCCTTCCCCTCCCCCCTTTTTTGATAGCACATCCACTTTATAAAAAAGGTAAAAACAATATACCAAGGTGGAATCTCCCTGTGATTCCATTTCCTCTTAGGAAAGCACTATCAGTGGTTTATCCATGACATAGTTCCATGCACATAGCTGTGCAGCATCTGTTTTTTTTTTTAATGACACGATAGTATTCCTTTATATGGAAGTGCTGTAGTTTAACATATCTCTCATTGATAGACATTTGGAATTTTGCCATTAAAAATAAAAATAGCCCACATCCAATAACAGCCCTTTGTGAGCTATTTCCCGAGAACCAGCTCTCAGATGTAAATTTGTAGAATTATTACAATTCTCTAAAGAGGTTGTACCAATTTTCTGAGTAATTAATGATGTCTTTTTTTATTTGTAAAAGTTCTTGACATACCCTTTTTAGTAAAAATACTAATCTTTGGTCGTGTTGCTGATCTTTTGCTATATTAAGTGTTTTCTATTTTATGTAGTCAAATCTGTCAATTTTATTATGATTTTTAACTATGGCATCATGCTAGAAAAGGTTTTTTTTCAATCTGAGCTTATAAAAAATATATCATGCATTTTTTTTTTTTTTGCAGTACTTGGATGGTTGTATTTTTTATATTAAAAATGTAATCTAGGACTACTCTATGATCCAGCAATCACACCACTAGGTATTTATCCAAAGAACACAAGAATACTAATTCAAAGGGTTACATGCACCCCATGTTCATTGCAGTGGAAACAGCCCGAGTGTCCTTCAGTTGATGAATGGATGAAGAAGATGTGTGTGTATATATGGAGCTAGAGAGTATAATGATAAGCAAAATGAGTCCATCAGAGAAAGACAGATACCATATAATTTCACTCATATGTGGAATTTAAGAAACAAAAGAGCAGAGGGAAAAGAGAGAGAGAAGCAAACCAAGAAACAGACTCTCAACTGTAGAGAACAAGCTGATGGTTACCAGAGGGAAGGTGGGTGGGATGATGGGTGAAATAGGTGATGGGGATTAAGGAGTGCCCTTGTGTTGAGCACTGGGTGTTGTATGGGAGTGTGGAATCACTATTGTACACCTGAAACTTGTATGACACTGTTTGTTAACTAACTGGAATTTAAATAAAAACTTAAAAAAATTAATCTAGGGATTGTAGTTATATGGCATTGCCTCTCCTTCCCATAAGCATGGTCAATAAAGGTGTCAGATAATTGCTTTCCTTTTTGCTGAGCAGAGTTACAAATTCAGAATCTTTTTTTTTTTTTTTTTGAGACAGAGTGAGGGAGAGAGAGAGCATGAGCAGGGTAGAGGAGCAGAGGGAGATGGAGAAGCATACTCCCCAATGAGCAGGGAGCCTGATGTGGGGCTCAATCCCAGGACCCTGCGATCATGACCTGAGCCGAAGGGAGATGCTGAACCAACTGAGTCACCTAGGCACTCCCAGAATCTTTCTTAGTGTAGTGCTTTAGTTAGTGAGCTAAAGCCTCTTCGCCATCTTTGCTTTTATTCCCTTAGAACCTTTTTGTATGAAGTAGAAATGTTTTTTTTTCAAGTGGGAGACCAAATTTTTTTGTTAATTTCAAATGCTACTTTTTTCACAAATCACATTTGTGGACTTGTTTAAATTCTGTTGATCTTAAACTCATTTGAGAATATTACACTTAAATGGTGTATTTCACATCCATTATAATAATCAAGGAAAGTGAGGTCCTCTCTTCTAAAATTTTTCTTTATCTTAGTTATTCTAGATGATTTTATAGTCCCATCAGGTTCCAATAATAAACTATTCATTTGATGTATACATTATTTGGAGAAGTAAACTGCTTTAATCCTTTGCTCCATTCTCTCTCCATTATCCGGGTCTTCAGTGCCTTGGTAGCTTCATAGTTTTTCGGTTTTAATTTAATGTAGGTTTTGTATACTTCTTCGTTTTCTTCCTGTATGTTTTACAGCTTTATTGTGAGTGGGACTTTGTTACCAAGCTAGCACATGGGAAATTTAACGATTTTTTTAAAATACCTTATTAAATATGTTTTAGTTGATTGCTAGATTTGCTAGTTTGCAAGCATATAATTTGTAGGTACTAAATTTTTTTTGCCTCCTCCTTTCTAGTCTTTATACCTTTCCTTACTTCATGTGCTAGACTCGAAACAGTATTGACAGATAGTGGAGACAGCAAAGTGCTCCTTTTTTGTTTGTCTGGAATGAGGTCACTTCCAGTGTTTTACCATATTGCTTGTGCTGATGGTTTCTGATGGTTGAGTGCATGTATGCTAAGGAGGTTCCTTGTAATCATACTAAGTTTTTATCAGGAGTAAATGCTGCATTTTACCTTTTTTTAAAAGCCATTTTAACTAAAAAAAATACCATTTTTAAATCCTGTTTTTAAACCATGTTTTCCTTTTTGAAATTTTAAGATACCTGGGGCGCCTGGGTGGCTCAGTTGGTTCAGTGTCTGCCTTCAGCTCAGGTCATGATCTTGGGGTCCTGGGATGGAGCCCCATGTCAGGCTCAACTTGGAGTCTGCTTCTCCCTCTCCCTGTGCCCCTCCCCCTGCTCATACTTGCTTTCTCTGTCTCTCTATCAAATAACTAAAATCTTAAAAAAAAAAATTTTAAGATACCAGAGTTTTTGTTTTTACCCACCCTTTTTACTCATTACATTAATGTAATGAATTTTTTAAAAAGATTTTATTTGTGAGAGAGAGCACATAAGTAGGTGGAACGGCAGGCAGAGGAAGAAGCAGGCTCCCCACTGAGCAGGGAGCCTGATGTGGGGCTCGATCCCAAGATGCTGGGATCACGACCTGAGCCAAAGGCAGATGCTCAACCAACTGAGCCACCCAGGTGTCCCTAATGTAATGATTTTTTTTAATGTTAAACCACTCTTAGTCCTGGAATAAATGTTTTTTGATTATGTGATCTTATTTTTTTTAATATGCTGTGGTTCAATTTGCTTTATTTTGGATTTATCAGCTGTATCATAAATAAGATATCCAAAGCAGTTGTTTTAAAACTTTTTTAAAAAGCAGTGAAATAGTGGAAGTGAAGTTCTTTTTCTCAACTTAGAATACTTCCTTAAGTAATTTTTTCAAGAATACATGGAGTATGTAGATGGTATACTTCTTGAGACCTTACATCTAAAACTTCTTCCAAATCCTGAGATCCTGAAATGTAGTTTGAAAGGCCAAATCTAAGGTCATAGTCTTCCCTTTATTTATTTATTTATCTATTTGACAGAGAGAGACCTAGCAAGAGAGGGAACACAAGCAGGGGGAGTGGGAAAGGGAGAAGCAGGCTTCCCACTGAGCAAGGAGCCTGATGCTGCACTCAGTCCCAGGACCCTGGGATCATGACCTGAGCCAAAGGCAGACACTTAACCCACTGAGCCACCCAAGCGTCCCTGATGAACTCCTTTTAATTTAAAGACTCAGGTTTATTCAGTTTAGGGAAATTTTGTTGTATTATTATTTTATTCTTATCTCTACCAATTTCATTCCTTTTTTTTTAGAATTTACATTGTATAGAAATTAAATCTCCTGGAATTATTTCCATCTTATATACCTTTTCTCTCGTGTTGACATCTTTCTGCATTCTGAGAGATATCCTGACAATATCTTAAAATTGAATTTTTGTGTTTTTCATCAGCTTATTCTTTTACTTGTATTGAAATCTCTTTTGGGTGACTCAGTCAGTTAAGCGACCGACTCAATTTCAGCTCAGGTCATAATCTTGGGGTCCTGGGATCCATCTCCGCATTGGGTTCACTCAGCAGGGCATCTGCTTTTCTCTCTCTCCCTCTTCCTCTGCCCCTCCCTCTGCACATACATGCACGCTCTCTCTAAATAATTTTTTAAAAAATCTCTTTGGGGGAAGAGGCTAGAAATTTGAGTTTTCTTATTTTTTGAACTTTCTTTTGTTTCCTCTCTTCTCAGAGCAGATACTCATTTGTATCAAGCTGTATCCTTTTGGGGTGGAGAGGGGCAGAGGAAGAGGGAGAGAGAGTCTTAAGCAGGCTCCACACCCAGTGTGGTATCCAACATCAGGCTCACAACCCGGAGATCCTGACCTGAGCTGAAATTAAGAGTTGGACGCTTAACTGACTGAACCACCCAGGAGCCCCTCAGGTTGTATCCTTTAAAGCTTACTGAGAACATGGCAATTTTAAAGGAATTTATCCTTTTTCCTATATTAATTCGGGGGTGGGAGGGGAGAGGACCAATTACTTATCTTGGCTTCCTACTTTTGCTATTGAAAAGTATTCATATTTTCTTGGCATGAATACTTTTGTTTTTCCTTTTTAAAACTTAAGAAATTTATCAGTATGGGAGCACCTGGGTGGTTCAGTCAGTTAAGCAGCTAGCTGTCTTGAGCTCAGATTGTGATCTCGGGGTCCTGCGATCAAGCTCCATGTCAGGCTCCCTGCTCAGCCATGAGCCTGCTTCTCCCTCTGCCCCTCCCTCACGTGCTGTCTCTGTCTCAAAATCTTTTTTAAAAAAATTTATCGGTATGCATCTTGGTTTTGAGTCTGCAAACTTGGGGTAGTAGCGATTACTGTCAAATTTTTTTTTTTTCCCTAAACCTCTGGGGAAGGGTTTTTTGGCCATTTTCTTGAATAACAGTTACATTCTTCCCCCCCCCCATAGAAAGATAAAGAAGTTCAGTGTGTGCTGTTTCTGTCTCAAAATCTTTTTTTAAAAAATTTATCGGTATGCATCTTGGTTTTGAGTCTGCAAACTTGGGGTAGTAGCAATTACTGTCAGTTTTTTTTCCCTAAATCTGTGGGGAGGGGCTTTTTGGCCATTTTCTTGAATAACAGTTACATTCTTCCCCCCCCCATAGAAAAATAAAGAAGTTCAGTGTCTAAAACAGATACATGGGGGCTCCTGGGTGGCTCAGATGGTTAAGCGTCTGCCTTCGGCTCAGGTCATGATCCCAGGGTCCTGGGATCGAGCCCCACATGGGAGCCCCACATCGGGCTCCTGGCTCAGCAGGGAGCCTGCTTCTCCCTCTCTGTCTGCCCCTCCCCCGCTTATGCTCTCTTTTTCTTTCTGTATCTGTGTCTCAAATGAATAAATATAAAAAATAAAAATAATTTAAAAAGAACATACGTGAAGTTACTGTTCTGTTGAAACATTAGCAAGGCTGTGTCCACATCTGCTCAGCATTCAGTCTTCATGCTCTGCCTACCTCTGAGGGAGTTTTGCAGAGCCTCATTTTTTTAAAAATGCAAAACAACAACAAAAAACCCTAACATGCAATTCATGCTGTTTTGTTACTATTTCATAAGTACCATTTTGGTGTTTAATTAGTGGGTTGGGGGTTCCTGAAACAAGCACCAGTTTCATATTTGTTCTTTGGGATATTGTTTTCAAAAATGAAATTGATCCCTAAGCCTTTTTTTCCCCTCCTTTCTAAAATATTTTTCTATTGTAAAACTTTTTCATTCCCCTTTAATACTTTTCCTTTTTGCATATGTGTCATTGTAATTATTTGAATATCCCTGAGAAACTTGATCCTGTTTCAGGCAGGTTTTCTGTTTTTTGAGGCAGTTTTTTTTAATTACCTTTTGGTGTACCCTCCATTACAGAATGCATTCCTTGTGTTTGGGGTCAGGGGAATCCTACTAGTGGATCAGTGAGGTGCTATTAAAGGACCAGCCCTTGTCCCATTCTGTAGTGGATCAGTGATGGACAAGCCATTAAGGCAGACTTAAATTTTTTATTACATATATGTTGCCTTGTATTAGAAAATTAAATGTTATTCTCAGCATAAAACAAAATAATAAATAGTCACCTATAATCCTACCAACCACTCTAGTAGTAACTGTTGCTAACATTTTGGTCTTGTTCTTCCAAACCCTGTTGCTTCATCTTCACCAGCATTTAATGGTGTCAGTGTTCTGGATTTTGGCCATTCTAAAAGGAATTTGCAATTCCCTAATGATATACGATGTTGAGTATCTTTTCATATGTTTATTTACCATCTGTGTGTCTTGCTTGATGAAGTGTCTGTTCAGATCTCTTGCCCATTCCTTAATTTGTTTTCTTGTTGAGTTTTAAGTGTTCTTTGTATATTTTGGATACCAGTCCTTTATGAGTTATGTATTTTGCAAAGATTTTCTCCCAGTCTGGGACTTGTCTTTTCATTCTCTTAATAATGCTTCCACAGAAACCTCACCAGAAACTCCTCTAACATTTGGATTTTCTAGTAGCAGTTTCTTCTAGGCTTTTTCTGTCAAGTGCCTCAAAACTCTTCTAGCCTTTACTGGTGACCTGATTCCAAAGCTTCTTCCACATTTTTAGATATTTTTTCAGCCATACCCCATTTCCTGGTACCAGAATCTATAATATGCTGCATATTATCACATTGCTTGGATGTACCATAATTTTTTAAAACAGACCCCAGTTTCTGAACATTTAGGTGTCTGGATGTGTTTTCATTTAGAAGCAGAGTGGTAGTGAACTTTCTTGTGTATTATTACCTTGCATATTGGTTGAATATTTACCTCAGGATGAATTCTAGAAATGAAATTGTGAGTCAGAGGGTATTGCAAATTTTAAAGGTTTTAGTATATGTTCAGTGCAGACTCTTAATTCCTAACCTAGGTTGCTGACTTCAAGGCTGGTTTTTATTGTGGCCTGCTTTGCTTGGATTAGGATTATTAGTGGGAGATAGGATTGAATTTGATTTAATTGATTTCAAGTTGTAGATCAGTGTTTCTGAAACCTGGTCTTCTGATGTACGAGTTTGCAGAAACCCTTTCCAAATTCTGGCATGTGCTCTTGTCATGTGTTGTTACTTCTGTAGAAGCTTTCTAGAACACTTCAGTGTGGGGGCCTGGGTGTGGCAAGGGCTGACGGTGGGGGCTCTTGGTGGTTTTTTTGTAAGCACTGTTTTATGGGAAGAATCCCAAGAACGACTTCTCCTTGTAATTGGTGTGCAATTCCTTGGCCATCTGCATTACATAAGCTAGTTCTACAGATGTATCCAGGGGTAATTGTTTCAATTATTCTAGTGAGACAGTTTTTCCCACCTACTTATAATTACATACTTTTGAAATAAAAATGCTTGTGAAAATATTGGAGCTTTTGTCAGATGAAAAAAATCTAGTTTGTTGGCAATGTAGATTTAGCAAATATCCTGTGTAAAATAACGTAAGTCCCATTCATGACCTAAAATGTAGATCATTTATGGAGTTAGTGCTTATTTAATCTCATGTTGAAGCCATGTAACAAGCTCCATAGAGAATACGAAAGAAGGGCATGGCTGCCCTTAACAAAAGTTTTCCATTATAAATGAGAATGTATAATGTTCACATAAGAATAAAATATTAATCAGGGTTCACAAAGCTCTGAATAGGCAAGTACATAATATAATTAAAATTTGGTTTTAACATTGTGCTCTCTGAGGTGATTTGGAAGAGGAAAGAATTTATCTGAAGTACTTTAATTCATGTCTCCTCATTTTAGGATTGCATTTTAAAGACGATTTCTCTGATTGAGTTGTCTTTTGGAAGATTAAACCCATTTCAAGAGGACTTGGAGCTGGTCCTCGCCTTGAGGAAGCAGTGGCTTGTTTTCAAGAAGCCACTTCCAATCTAAGGATCTACCCAGCATGCCTAATCAAGGAGAAGACTGCTATTTTTTTTTCTATTCTACATGTACCAAAGTAAGAATTGGCATCTTTAAAATCAGTTCTTTCTGTAATTTCTCTAATAAGATTTGATAAGATTTTCCCAATATACTAAGTTTTTATGTTTTGTTTTGCTCAACCATTTATTATCTGCTACCATTTTCTTAGAGAATAGTACTCCTAGGAGAATTCATTGTTTATCCTTTTTTCCTTTTCATGTATGTTCTTCACATTCTACAAAAGTGAAAAAGTCCACAGCATATAGTCATCATTCACTTCTCTTATTGATAATAATTATCTGTTAATAATTAATAATTACCTATTAATAATTAGCCCTCTTCAGGGTGCCTTTGATTCAAATTAGGAGCACTTTGGCCTGGCTTGTAAACTTTGGTTTTATTTACTTTGTATTAAATGAATGGGTGGGTTGTATCGTACCTCTAGAAACTGTTGTGGGTTGAATTTGATTTTTTCTTCAAATTTCCTGCTGAGTAATAAAGCCATTCTTCTAAATATGCTTTTGTAGCATTTTTGCTTTTTCTGTGTCAAAACTTGCTGTTTTTCTGCTTGATTCTTCTGCAGCTTCATTGGGAGATCTAGCCACTTTTCCGTTTCTTTGTGACTAATTCTATAAATGTATATGTTGTTAGAGAAACTTCTGAAATCATCTCAGTGCCATGTTTAAAACGATTGGTTTTGAGCAAAGCTCTGAGCATTTATAGCATTTTGTTTCAGATATTGCCATTGTAGAGGTATATAACGAAGCATGGAATTATACCTAAATCCTAATCTTTTTGTGATTTTCCATCAAAAGCTAGTTACAAAAGTCAAGATGTATGAAATGGTTTTGAAGAACTATAAAATATACTTTTAAAGACTACCACTTTAAATACTCCCACTTACCTTTTTCAGCCCCATTTCCGCTTATGTCATTTATCTTGTGAAATCAAATGAAGGATACTGTCAAGAAATAGGTCATAGGAAATTATAAATTTGTTGACCTCAGATTGTTCTTGTCTTCCACCGCACTTTTCTACCTTGCCCGTCTGTCCTTATTCCTTTGTGTTTGTCTGGATGCCAGGAAGCTGTTACAGTGCACACTTTACCTAGGATCTATTTTGGTACCACAGTTCTTTTCTGTATTCTTTTCATTTACAGGGTGACAGCTGTCCCTTCCGTCACTGTGAAGCTGCACTAGGAAATGAAACTGTTTGCACATTATGGCAAGAAGGGCGCTGTTTTCGGCAGGTGTGCAGGTTTCGGCACATGGAGATTGATGTAAGTTTCTAGTTTGTGCTATAATAAGCAGTCTGGTATTGTGATGGGCCAATAAAAAATATAGGGAGAAATGGGCGCCTGGGTGGCTCAGTCGGTTAAGTATCCGACTCTTGATTGAGGCTCAGGTCATGTTCTCAGGGTCATGAGATCAATCCCCATGTCAGGCTCTGCGCTGGGCATGGAGCCTGCTTAAGAAATGACACCTTATATATAATGTGCAGGTTACATTTTTTAATGTAGTGAAATTTCTGTTGTAATGCTCAATATCTTGATATTTTGGAGTATGAGTTGGTTTCATTTTCTGGGAGCCAGTTTGGTAATGTATCTAAAGTGTAAAAATTATATGTGTATCATTGGGGAGTATTTATATTTCTGTGTTCATTTTAAACAGTCTCAAACTTAGAGAAAACCTGCAAGTACATTTTAAAACATTTTTCTAAGCCACTTGGAAGTAAACTACATTCCCTTTCACTCCCAAATACATTCATGAATATTTCCTACAAAAAAGGACATTCTTGGGGCGCCTGGGTGGCTCAGTCGTTAAGCGTCTGCCTTCGGCTCAGGTCATGATCCCAGGGTCCTGGGATCGAGCCCTGCATCAGGCTCCCTGCTTGGTGGCGGGAAGCCTGCTTCTCCCTCTCCCACTCCCCCTGCTTGTGTTTTCCTCTCTCACTGTGTTTGTCTCTGTCAAATAAATAAATAAAATCTTAAAAAAAAAAGACATTCTCCTAGATAACTGTAATACAACCATCAAAATGAGGAAGTTAATGCTGATAGATTACCTTCGTGTAATCCTCAGATACCATTCATTACCAGTTATGTCCTTTATTGCAGAAGGAACCAGTGCAGAATGGAGTGTCGAATATAGTTGTCATTGCTCTCTCATTCTCCTTCAGTCTAAAACAGTTATTCAGTCTTTCTTTACTTTTCATTTGCCTTGACACTTTTGGTAGTTATTGGACAGTTATTTTGTAGGATGTCCTTCAATTTGGTTTGTCTGGTGTTTCCTCATTACTAAGTTCAAGTTATGTACCTCCGGCAGGAATATCATAATTCCTCTCAGTGCACACCATTAGGTGGCACATAAAATTTTAATTATCCCATTACTGGTGGTGGTAACTTTGATCACTTCGTTAAGGTGGTTTGTACGAAATTACTTCACTATACAGGTTTTCTCTTCGTAACTAATACGCATTTTGTGGAGAGGTACTTTGAGATCCTGTCATTTCCCCGTTTCTCACCAAATTTTCAGGTTTTTTCCACTTATTTATGTTTGCGAACTCATGGTTTCCTCTTTTATTCAGTGTGTTGTACTCCATTACTATCATTTTTAATCCTCAGATTGACCCAGATTTGCCCAGTAAAAGCTGTTCAAGCTGGTTTTTGTGTCCTTTTGATGTTTTCATCATCCTTTGAACACCTTTTTGCATTCTGGCCTGACAAGATTTTTAAGGCTCATCCTATATTTTTCCTTCTCCAGTCCTGGAATCAGTCATTTCTCTAAGGAGCCCTGGATCCTTTTAGTGAAGAATGATATATATAGAAATAAGATTTCGGCAGCTCCTGGAGTCTCACTGCTTCCAGGCCTACGGTGGACCGAACGAGAGTATATAAATGGATTTACATACAAACATTTACATCATCATTTATTCTCTATGTCTGTGTATTGAAAATCATGAGTTCACATAGATGCCTTCAGTTCACTGGCACTGTAGGGTTTAGTCTAGGCTTCTCCCTTTCCATACTTGTAACTCTCTTCTCCAAAAGTGAGAAACTTGTCCTTAGTATCACTGATTCTATTAGTCCTCTTGTTGTGTAAGCCAATATTGTATTCCCAGCCTCTTCCTTCCCCTCAGGCTCTGACATCACACATGAGGCTGCTCTTCTACAGGGACGTCTTTCTCACCTTGTTTTGGTTCCAGCAACCCTGTACCAGGCTTCTGTCCTTGCTCCACCATGAGGACCTTGTCCTCACCATACTTGGACCCCAGCATCCTACTTTGGACTCCTCTCCCCATGAATGCCCTTTTTGCACCTTTGGACTCTGCTCCTCTGTGTGCGGCAGCCCTGCCATATGAGATGCTTACTTTTCTCACCCTGCTCTCACCCTGGAATGTGTTCCAGCTCTTTCTCACCCTGGAATATATTCCAACTCTGTACCAGGCCCTCACTTGGGAAGACCCTGCCTTCCTTACCCCGCTTAGTCATTGTTGCCCATTCTAGGCTGACCCTCCATAAATATACGCTCCTCATCCTACATTGGGATCTCTTCACAAAAGCTTTTCCTCACCCTGCTCAGGCTCCAGCACTGTGCCAGGCCACGCTCCTACACAGATGTCCTCCCAACCCCTCATGAATTCTGACACCTAAGCCAGTTCCACCTTGTCACATGGTGCCTTCCTCATTCAGTCAGGCTCCAACACCCTGGTCTGGGCCATGTGCCCTTCCCTCTCCCAGCAGGAATGCCTACCCCTCATTTCTCAGCCTCACCTAATACCCTTGGACCAATTGTTTGAGGGAAGTGGGGAAGGAAGGAAGGGACTGACTGCAGTTTGTTACGCCTGGGCTCATAGAGCTACTCCAGGTGGGCTGCAAATTAATGGCCTTTTAACTGCATTCTGTGCTGCCTGTCTTCCAAAGAGCGGGGAATTCACTGAATAAATTCAGAGAAATTCTCTGCAGCTTTTGAAAATTCACATTATTATATTGCTGGCAGAGTATAATTTGGCACTACTCCCTAGAAGGTATGTCAGGGTCTCTAAGAACATCTACATTGAGAGATTCCCTAGAATCTCCTGAGACTCAGCATATAGTTATATTCATGGCTAAGGTTTATTACAGTGAGGGGGGCCTGAGTGGCACGGTCAGTTGAGCATCTGACTCTTGGTTTTGGCTCAGGTTGTGATCTCAGGGTCGTAAGATCGAGCCCCATGTCTGGCTTTGAGCTCAGCAGGGAGTCTGCTTGAGATTCTCTGTCCCTCTCCCACTTGTGCTCACTCTCCCTCTCTGTAAAATAAATAGATAAATATTTTAAAAATTTTATTACAGTGATGGGGAGATAGCACTGATCATAAGGGGAAAAAAGACATAGAGTCTGGAGGAATCCATGTGTGGATTGCTTTCATGATCTCCCTCCCACGAGGGTTCACACACAGTACATACTTCCCCCAGCAATGAAAATGCAGCACTATGTGTGGGATGTTTCTGCCTAAGGAAACCCAATAGAGACTCAGACATCCAAGGGTTTTAATGGGGCTGGTCACATAAGTGCCCTGTACCTATCATATACCAAAACTCCAGACTCCCAGAAGGATGGCCGGTGTTCAGCACAAGACGTATTATTTGCACAGTGCAGGCACTGTAATCAGTTAACAGACTAGGAACATTCCAAGGGCCAACTTTGCAAGCTGGGTATCTAAGGTGGCCATCTTAGGGCTGCTCAGGTAACTCTTGTGCACAGTCTTACCAGGCTACATTTTTCAGGAATACTATATGCTTTTCCTACCTTTGTCTCATCTGTGCTTTTACGTGCAAAAGCAGATCTACACAGAATTACTCATTGTAGCATAATTTATAATAGTAAGATACGTGAAATAACCTTCATTTAAAACAAATTTGCTGCATTCATACAGCAAAGTGCTGGGTAGCTGTTAAAAGTTTTTTAAAGGGAAACTGTATTGGTATGGAAAGATCAGGATATATTGTCAGTGAAGAAGGGAGGGGCAGAATAAGGTGCATGATATGCTATCATTTGTGTAAAAAAAGGAGAAGAATTTGTTTTTTATTTGCATGTGTATTTTTAAAATCTCTGGGAGCATAAAGGAGAAACTTGACAACAGTGGCTGTCAGGGAGTGGGGACAGGAATGGAAAGGAGCCTTTTTACTGTAACCCCTTCTGTTTGCAGTTGATTTTCATTATTCATGAGTTCCATGTTTGCAAATTTGCCTACTCGCTAAAATTTATTCGTAACCCCCAAATCAGTACTTGCAGTGCTTTCACGGGCCATCTGCAGACGTGTACAGAGCACTGAGAAATTTGAGTCGCCTGACTTACACACTCCCGGCTGAGATCAGACAAGGTGATGCCCTGCCACCTTGTTTCAGTTCTCATACTCTAAACAAGTGTCCTTTTTGTGGTCTGTTTAATGCCATCTTTTTTGTATTTTGTCCTTTTTGTTGGTGATTCTTTTTTGTGACTGATTAAAATGGCCCCCAAGTGAGATGCTGAAATGCCATGTAATGTCCCTAAGTGCAAGAAAGCTCTTAACGTGCCTTATGTAGAAAATACATGTATTAGATAAGCTTCATTCAGTTGTGAATTACAGTGCTCTTGGCCTTAGAGTTCAGTGTTAATGAATATATTAAATGAGGTGTCTTTAAACACAAACACACATATAACCAGTTTATGTATTGATTGATGAAAATGTGACAGAAACTTGCAGGAACCTGACTCTAACTCTGTATTTCCCTTAGGAGCAGAGTGGTTCAGTATTGGATAATTTAGTATTCATGGTGACCTCATAAACATAACTACTTCAGATAGAATCAGCTATATATCTTTGGACCATGTGCTGTATTCAACCTTTTGAACATTTAAAGAAATGATTCTATAGGAGAATGTTATTATGGAGGATGTGTTGCCGAGTGAAAAATATGCAGTTATTTGGAATACCTTTCTTTTAAGTGTACATGTAGGCATTTAAAATTTTTTTTCTTTTTTTTTTTTTAAATAGTAAGCTCTGTGACCAACGTGGGGCTTGAACTCATGACCCTGACAAGAGTCGCAGGCTCTGCCAATAGAGCCAGCCAGGCACACCTATAAATTTTTTTTTTACGTCCAAGAATTCTGTACTCAGGTGATTCTCTTTGGGTAATAGCATGGCAGGCATTTATTACCATTTTCCAAGTGGTTTTCATTATTTGTGTATTACTTTTCATTTAGAAACAAAATCCAGTAAGTGGATTTTTAAAAGGGAAATTTTATTGATATGGAAAGATTAGGAGATTTTGTCAGTGAAATATGACACTGACAATAAATGTTATATGACTCCTGTATATAGAGGATACTATTACAGAAGTCATTCAGTAATTTGAAAACTGCTTCCAGGAAAGAAAGAAAAACTTAAGCAAAGACAAACCCAGGAGCAAGAAAAATTGGCATTAGGTTCTGCCTTGAGGAAGGAGTAATTGAATAATTGTTGTAATTTTTATCTAAAAAAACAGTGGTAGCTATTATTACATTTAAACTTTTGGGTGTGCCAGGAGACTGATAAATCCAGTTCTTTGAAAGGTAAAGGAATTTGCTGTACTTTTTAAAAATAGGTGATCATACATGTGGCAATAAACTCAGGACATAAATTTTGTGAATACCTTTTTTTTTTTAACCAAACCTCCTTTCAGAGATGTTGAGCTAATTTCCATTTCCATTATCAGTACATGGGACGGTTTGGTTCTTCCACATCCCTACTGACACGGTGTACTATCAAGTGTTCAATCTCTCAATATAATAGATTTTCATCTTTGCCCTTTTTGATGCATTTGAGGATTTTTTTGTGATTTTTTTTGTAATGCTGCTATGCTTTCCTAGAATTTTAAACCTCAGCTTGCTTATGATGAGAGATCCAGCATAATCCAACAGATCCAAATCTGCCTTCACCCTTTGTCCCTTGATTGTCACTAACCACTGCCTCCGAGCTAGTCACTATCCTGACTGTTCCACCATAGAGAAATTTTGCCTGCTTTGATCTCCCCATCAGTGGAATCACACAGTGTGCACTCTTTTGTGTCTGGCTTCTTCCTTCTGCACTGTCCTGTTAAGCGTAGGGATGGTTTATTCCTTCTCGGTACTGAATAACATGCTGGTTTATTCCTTCTCGTTACTGAATAACATGCTATTGTACGAATAAACTACAATGTATTTATCCATTCTGGTATTGATGTACATTTGGGTTTCCATTTTGGAGCTATTCTTTATACATTTTTATACACATCTAATGTATAGAACTAATGTATGTATTTCTGCTGGACATATGCCCTATGATCCAGCAGTTTATTCTAGGTGTGAGGGTATCTTTTTCCTCATTTCCCTTCATAAGAGTGAGGTAGCTTGGGAAGGAAGAGTACCATCCTTAGTGTGTTATTTGTGCCTTACTTTGAGAAGCCTCGAAAGGGAAAATTTTCCTCAAAGCTGTGAGCTCTCAGTTTTAAATAAACTGCAGTTTATTGAGTCCTTCCTATGTGCTAAGTGTTTCATATACATTATTTCATTTAATCCTCATAAGAAACCAAGTAGATAGCTCCTGTTACTGCCATTTTATGGCTGAGGAAACTAAGGCTGAGAGGCATTAAATTATTTGTCCAACCTCACATGGCCAGTAAGTAACATAATGTTATCTTTGGTTCTAAAAACTAATATATTGTCCTGCTTCTCTAAATTAAATATAGGCATTTAGGGGTTCCAGCATAGTACATGAGCTACTCCCTGCTCCCTTCATCTCTCCCTCAAGCATGGAGTGTCACTTTCAGCAACCCCTCTTCCTCCTGCCCACAATCAGCTCACATGCCTCTGAGCTTTGAAGCCTGAATGAACTTTATTCAGAAAACAAATGACCAAATTAATACAGGTCACACCTCATTTTTTATTTGAAAACAATGTGTTTTTTCTTCCTATAGAAAAAACGTAGTGAGATTCCTTGTTACTGGGAAAATCAGCCAGTGGGATGTCAAAAACTAAACTGCGCTTTCCATCACAATAGAGGACGTTATGTTGATGGCCTTTTCCTACCTCCAAGCAAAAGTGAGTTGTGTTTTTCATTTTAAAAGAATAGTTACAATTTAAGAACACCTGCTATGTACACCGTACAGAGTACTTTACATACATTGCCTTTTAGTCTTGGGAGAGAGTAGTTTTATTTCCACTTTACAGATGAGGGAACTGAACTTTTCATTTTAAAGGGTAAATGACTTGTACATGGTCATAGTCATAAACAAGTTAAGTATCACAGTCAGGATTAAAACTTTGTTACCAAAAGCCATATTGCCTCCCAAATGTTTCTTCGCATGACAGTTTAGATTACTATAGCTTCTTTTCCCATTTTCTTATCAGACACAGTGAGTTTTCCAAAAGAAACTGGATTCTCCAGGCCAGGGTTTGGCAAATCTGGTCCTCCACCTTTTTTATAAAATAAAGTTTTACTGGAAGGAAGCCATGCCCATTCATTTGCATATTTTCTGTGGCCAGATTTTGTGCTCCTTCTGCAGAGTTGAGACACAGAGGTCTACAAAGCCTAGAGTCCTTAACATCTAGCGCTTCACAGAAAAAGTTTGCCAACCCGACTCTAAGCTATAATCTAAAATAAAATTTACACTCCCCCAAAAGCTAGTTTTTATTTCCAAAATCTCCTTCAACATTTTCTACTGGAATGATCAGCCTTTTAAAAGCCACATCTTATGTGATTAAAATTTGATGCTACATATTCTCCCCTCTATTTAAGAGAAAAAAGTGGGCTTGCTCCTCTCTGGTTTAGTTCAGAAGTGTTATCTAGTATGTCTTTTAACAGCTACTTTTTTGCTGAGCAAAAAGCCTCAAATTTCAATATTAAAATTAAATGTCTAGAATTTGCAAACAATTTTATGCATCTAGCCTCCAGATCATTCTGTCTTTTGAACACCTACTTTGAACATGTTTGTGTACACAGTTATTAGCTAAAAGCCATTTTTACCCTCCCTGGGAGTTTAGAACCTAATTGTGAAAATGGAGAAATCAGGTAAAAAGAAATAAGTTGTCATAAAGAAAAGCACCAAACTTAGCATATGTGATTGAAGATTTTTGATGAATTGGAACATTATCTTCTATTTTTAATTTATGACTGATGTATGTCTAGCTGTGTTGCCCACTGTCCCTGAGTCACCAGAAGAGGAAGTGAAGGCTAACCAGCTCACAGTTCAACAGAACAAATTGTCTGTCCAGTCTAATCCCTCCCCTCAGCTGCGAAGTGTTATGAAAGTAGAAAGTTCGGAAAATGTTCCTAGCCCCACCCATCCACCGGTTGTAATCAATGCTGCAGATGATGATGAAGATGATGATGGTAAGTTTTAGCTCTTGCTTTAAGGCAAATAAATGGTCAGGGTCACTCAATGAATTGGAATCAGGATTAAAGCTTGAGGCCTGCTGTTAATTGTAAATTTGCCTCATATGTCAATACATAGATCAGTTTTCTGAGGAAGGTGATGAAACCAAAACACCCATCCTGCAACCGCCTCCTGAAGTTCATAATGGATTACGGACAGCCTCTGCCCGGAAACCTGGGGTCAATTTGAAGCAAGGTAAGAAGAGGCTACATTGATGCTGCTTTCTGCTCATAAATCTGAAAACACTGTTGAATGTGCCCAAACTATTTTAATACATTTAAAATTTAGATCACGATCACCACCACTGCTCTGTCCCCTGACGCCACTGTACACACACCCATGCTCTCTTACTCATTCAGAAAACATTTGAGTGCTTCCGCACAAATAAAATGCAAAGGGCATGAGGTGTTAGTTCCTCATGTGATTTCTATTTGGATTTCTCAGGTGAATGTTTGAATTTTGGAATAAAAACTCTTGAGGAAATTAAGTCAAAGAAAATGAAGGAAAAATCCAAGAAGCAAGGTGGTAAGTCATCAGTTTTGACATGGATGATTGAATTTTGCTGGAGAAGAGTAACAAGGACACTTCTAATAATAAGGACACTGGCAACAGCCAAAATGAGCACATAGAAAATGAGCACATAGATTTTGACTTCTGTGGCTTGTTTGAAGTAAAACACAGACTTATTTAAATCAGGGCTGCTTTTTTAGTACTTGAAAAAACTGCTTTATCTTCAGAAATACAGCTCCAAAGAACAACATATAAAAATCATATAGAGGGCGCCTGAGTGGCTCAGATGGTTAAGCGTCTGCCTTCGGCTCAGTTCATGATCCCAGGGTCCTGGGATCGAGTCCCGCATCTGGCTCCCTGCTCCTTGGGAGCCTGCTTCTCCCTCTGCTTCTCTCTCTCTCTCATGGATAAATAAATAAAATCTTTAAAAAAAAAAAAACATATACAGGGGCGCCTGGGTAGCTCAGTTGTTAAGCGTCTGCCTTCAGCTCAGGTCATGATCCCGGGGTCCTGGGATCGAGCCCCGCATCAGGCTCCCTGCTCCATGGGAAGCCTGCTTCTCGCTCTCCCCCGGCTTGTGTTCATTCTTTCGCTGTCTCTCTGTCAAATAAATAAATAAAAATCTTAAAAAAGAAAAAAATCATAGGAAAAACTTTCTTTTGTAGTAGATGAATTCTTCTTAGGAGCTGCTAGAATTTTCTTCTAGAGTTTGCCTCTGCCTGGTCAGTCTGTATTTCCAACCCTAAAAATTACAGATACAGTGTGAAAAGTATTATTTAGAAAGGATCAAATGGTTGGTTAAAGTATTCGCTTGCTAAAGCTTGTTCTGTAGGAACCTTGGAGTTGTGTTTTGCAGACGATTAAATTAGATTTTGAAAGGTTGAATTGACACACTTGGTAGCTGGTGTGCTTCAGGTTAACTTTAGAATGTTATCCGCCTTGGTAAATAAAAGTAGATTGAATGCCTACGTCACTGAAAATTTTATATTTTATTTTTACCTTGTATCCAAAGCAGATAAGAAATAGGGATTATCTCCTCTCTCCCACCCCACCCCAGTCAATTCACTATAGGCAAATAGGAACAGAAAGACTGGCTTGTAGTCATCCAGTGGTCTGTATTGAACTTAACTGATCACAGAAACAAAATTTCTTGGCTTATAATAGCTTAATTTGCCATAAATTATTTGCTCTTCTTTGACTTGCTTTATTCAGAAGGTTCTTCCGGAGTTTCCAGTCTTTTACTCCAACCTCAGCCCATTCCAGGTCCTGAAAAAGAAAATGTTCGGACTGTAGTGAGGACAGTAACTCTTTCCAGCAAACAAGGTGAGGTATAGGTAGGTCTAGGTTAAGAGTTGTCAGGCTACCACTTTTTAATAACTGGGAGAGCAAAGTCCTTGGGTGTAGTGTACCTTTGATGGATTTGCAGGAAGACTTTAGTATGTTGGTCAGATAGAAGGATGAAAAGAAAACTCAGTGCATTTGACTCTTACTTGAAAGGTTGACATTCTTGCTCAAGCAGCTCTCACATTTAGGTATATTGCATTTTTACATTTACTCTTTATCCATTCAGCAAATTTACTGACTGCCCATTGCGGGCAAAGAACTATAATAAACTCTAAATTATAGAAAATGTAAGCCTTTTCCCTTAATAGTTTTAAACCTGATAAGAAATATGACACAAGTTATTGTCGTATACAGATACATTTAAATGTGCTGTTCAAACAACAAAGAATAAGGGGAAAGAGAGCGCACTTTATGCTGGTTTTCAAAGTTCTACATGAGAGTTAGCAATAGAGTGTGATTTCATTTAGCATATCGAAGTGCACAAACAAAAGTATAGCTGGGGTTTCTTAAGCAATTGATTAGAACACACCTGTCTTCATATACTTGGCTACTGTTAATAATTAGAACTGTATTAGTGATCCCTTTGGGCTGTGCATTTGGCTGTTTAAATTACTATTTAATAGACTGAATCTTTTCCCCCCCATGTGACAGTCTTGAGATGTGATTTTCAAGAGACTTTCTGGGTGGGCTCATGATATCAGAGCATATTTTGTACCCATTATTATTTACTGAATACAGAAAAATTGGATAATAGTAGAGAAATTCTGTTTTTGCCATTTCAGGAGAAGAACCCTTGGTAAGATTGAGTCTCACTGAGAGACTGGGAAAACGAAAATTTTCAGTAGGTGAGATGAATTTTGTGCAGATCTTTTGTTTTCTTCTATTTGTGCATTAACATAATATCCTCCAAAACTGACTTTATACAATATCCTGTTGATATTGATTTATTTGCTGGTCCCTCTGAATTGGCTGAAAAAACTTATAAAATTTGTTTTTCACATGCATTATACCTTTCATTGATTTACAGAAATTAATAGTGTTACAATTTAAGTAGATTGTAACCAGCTTTTTAGAAGGTACTACGTTGAAAAAACAGTAAAGAAGATACCTCTTTATCTCTTTGGACAAATCGAAATTTGAGTTTTTTCAAGGGAAAAAAGTGTCCAGTTAATATAAATTTGGTCCCTCAGTTTATTAATGGTAGTTTATGTTTAGGGAAGTGTTTTACCGTATTATTGAATTGTCATGTACATACCCTAATGTGTCTGTCTCAAAAGAATTTTGAAAATCTTCTCTGATTTCAGCTATTCCTTCATACTCTTTTTAAAATGTGCTTGCAAATATGAAATCTTACCTGTTTTGTGTTTTCTTTGATACCATTTTCACTGCCTGAGAAGTTTTAGGTAAAAAATACAGCTTTTTGATGTCTACATACATGTAAACTTTGTGATTTTTGGTCTCACATTTAAATTATAAATGAGAGTAGGGAGAAAATCATACCCTGTGTAGGGTCTTTCAGATTTTTAATGGGACGCTGCAAAGATTATCTTTAGTCAAGCAATCTGAAAAACAGTTTTTAACTTGTGACATTTAAACAGCTCATATTGAACTGTATAATACAATGACCAGTCAGGAAACTTGGTAAGGTCTTGGCTCTATCACTAATTGGTGACTTGAGTAAGATAGAATTTTTCATAACCTTAGATCTCTTATCTACAGTTGAAGAGAGGGGGCTGTTTGGTCTTCCAAGTTTTCATGTCACAGGAAAATATAATGATTCCTGTCCGCCAGGAACGTTCCGGGTGCATTTAACCACAGATACCCCTAGAATTTAGCAAGTGGCCATTTAAGATGTTTTTTGTATATAAAGTTTTTTTCACATATTCCTAATTCTGAATTTTGGCTTTACTTGGGGCTTATTCTCCATTTGTAGTTTTAGTCAATTATTTGATAGATATTGATTTGTTGTGCATTCTACTTTTTGGCCCTTATTCTTTCTGGGACATTTTTATTCTCTAACATTGAGTTCTATAAGGACACTAGTGAATGAACACACTATATAAATGCAGAAAACTGACATTCTGCGTTGTCTGTTTTGCTTGTATTTCTTAACCTTGTTGAAGACTGATTTGAACTCTTGAACTAAGTTCTCTCCGTTCGTAGGTGGTGACAGTGATCCTCCATTAAAGCGTAGCCTTGCACAGAGGTTGGGGAAGAAAGTGGAAGCTACAGAAACTAACACTGACAAAACACCAAAGAAAGGTACCTTTGTTCTAATATACTCTGTGTGTGTGTGTGTGTGTGTGTGTAATCATGACACTTGTCTCTTGTAATGTTAACAGGTATGGTTCGTCATTCTTTTTTGTTCAGGTAAATTAGATTATCTTGTGTTTGTATTATTCAACAAACATTTGAGTATTTACTCTAGTGCTAGATTTTAGGGAGATGCCACTGGATAAAATAAATACCATCACAGTCCTCAGGAGCTTATAGTATAATGGCAGATAGGAGTACTTATATATATTGTGATAAATTCTGTGATGGAAAGAGTACACAGTGTTATCGGAGCACACAGGAAGGGCACTTCTTTTACCATCTGTCAGGGAAGGGTTCCCAGGGCAAATTATGTTGAAGCAGACCTGAAACATGAGTTAGGAATTAGGCAGGTGAAGTTGAAGGACCAGAGGCTATGCTGAGGCAGAGAAAGCACAGAGCTAAGAAAGCAGGATATACTCAAGGGACTGAGTATGGTTGAAACATAGAATTGGGGGTAAAGAGCATATTGACTGGAGAGGAGGAAGGAAGTGGATCATATGGAGCCTTTTAAGCCATGGTAGAGAGTTTGGACTTACTAGCAAACCATGGGAAGGTTATGAACAAGGATCAAAAGCTCAGATTTGCATTTTAGAACCATCATCCTGCCTAAAATATGGAGAAAGATTAGAAGGGGACAAGTGTGCTGTCCAGGATATGAGTTAGCAGGCTGTTAATAAAATAATCTAAACGAGAGGAGTTAGTGGCGTAGATTTAGTGTTCTAAAAGTTGGTATGGACAGATGTGGACTAAATTGAGAGATATTTGGGAGTTAGAATGATTACGTGGTTGAAGTTCTGTTTATAGAAAGAAGTCAAGGTTGGACTTTGTTATCCTTTTATGACTTGGCAGTGAAACATTGGTGTTAATTACTGAAAGAATAGGTGGGTTTTTTTTCCCTTTTTATTGTGTTTAGTTTTAACTTCTTTTGAAGATGAGAAACTTCCACTTTTCCTCTAGCTGAAGAGACTTTAATGAGTAGATGTTTTTGTTTAGGGTTTTTCTTGGTCTCTCCGAGCAAACAAGTTACTCTTTTTCTTTGCAGTCATAACCTTTTTCTCCTTGCCTATTGATCATATTAAAAATTTTCATAAATAAAAAGCACATTTTAAATAGACTTGGGGCCTAAGATTATAGAAGTTTGTACAATAACAAAATTATTTCCCTGAATTCAAGTTTTTGCTTTTCAGATCTAAAAAAAGATTATTTTTTTAAAGCCTTCCAAAGTGCTCTAGGGAATCCATGATTCACATAGGTCTTGTTCTGTGGAAAAGAAAAATTTTAAGACCTTTAAGAGATTTCTTTTTTAAGTATTTGCCTTAGAAGACAAACATAAACCTAATTTGTGAACTTTGAGGGAAAAAAAGGTCTCTGTTCAACTTTTGGTTTTTAAAATACATATTTTTTACAGTTCATGTTCCCAAGTCTCTGAAGGAGCGATTAGGCATGTCAGCTGGTCCCAACAGTGAGGAGGCAGCAGGTAGGTAAACCCTAAGACCAGCTTCTAATATTTTTTTCCTTGCTGTAACAATCTTTACCTTTTCTCTGATTTATTTTCCTGTTGCAGTTAGGTTAGGGCTTGTGTCTTTTGTGATTTTATTTATGGTTTGTTTTTTTTTTAAGATTTGAGAGAGAGAACTAGTAGTGGAGAGGGGTAGAGGGGGGCTGGAGAGAGCGAGAGAAGCAGACTCTCTGCTGAGTAGGAAGTCTAACACAGGACTCAGTCCCAGGACCCGGATATCATGACCTGTGCGGAAGGCAGACGCTTAACTGACTGAGCCAGTGAGGCGCCCCATGAATTCTCTTAAAAGATGGCGAAATGATCAGTTCAACATAGCATTAGTAGTAAGAAGCTAGAAACTACCTAAATATCCAACAAAAATTCAACTAAGGTAGTTATGTACAAAAATAATTATTGTCATAAGTCATATTTTGAACAATCATGATTTGAAAAACTTCTCACATTATATTGAATGAAGAAAGGTTACAAAAGAACACATTGCTTTTGACCTTTAGATTTAGGGTAAGAATCTTATTTTGTGGGGGTGATGAAGTTTGTTTTCTTATTATAGAAACTTTCTCTCAGAAATAACATCCGTATGTATGATTTCAGTTTTGTAAAGATAAAAATATATGCCTTAGAAAAACACTGCAAAAAATACACCAAAATAATTTTCTTCTCTATATTCTGTACTCTTCCTGTACTCTTAATTTTTAAACCTTTTAAGTTGTAAGATCTAACCACTTAGTGTATATATGTATACAGTTTAAAGAATAGTAAAATGAACCTGTACTCCAGCCATCCTGCTCTTTTGTACCTCGCTCTTTTGATTGAACCAGCCTTGCACCCCTCAATTTGATGCTTTTTAATTTTTATATCTATGCTTTTTAATTTTTATGTCTATGTTTATGAATGGTGTTAGCCTGTGCTTTTCTTTTTTCATCCTATCCTTATCTGGTTTGTATATTAAGATTTTTAACAGCATCATAAAAAGAGAGTCTGATGTTAAACATTCTTACTCTTTTGTAAAGAACCTGGGTTTATTCTTCAGAAACTTTTATAATTTTCTCTTTATTCCTCCCTGCTGTGCTGGGACTTTAGTATAGTAGGTCTAAACATGGCACTTTTGGTTGATTCAGCCCAGTGTTCAGTGGGCCCTTCAAATCTGAGGACTTAGTTCTAGAAAACACTCCTCTCATTTCTCTGAGTATGTCTTCCCACTCTTCTTTTGGTTTCTCTGTGGCTTTCATACCAGACAGAAGCTGGAATTTCAGGACATAGGCTTCACATGTCTTCTAACCTTGCCTTCATGCTCTCCGCTCCTTGGCTTTTTGTTTGTTTCTTTGGTTTTGATTTTTGTCTCACCTTCTATGGTCTTTGCTTGGCTTTATTATCTAGGTCAGGAATTGACAGACTTTTTCCATGAAAGGTCAGATAGTAAATATTTTAGGTGTTGTGGTGCAGTCTCCTCAGCTACTCCACGCTGCGGTCATGGCCACATTGGGCCCATCAGCTATAGTTTGCCAAGCCTCTTCTAGATGGCTGGTTTTTTAGTATTCAGTTCCTTTGGTGGGATTTATTTGTGCACCTGTGTTTTTATCTTCCAAGACCTTTTTTTTGTTCTCTGGTTTCTCCCTGTTTCACAGTCTGATTTCGGGCTGCCCTGGAGTTTCTAATTGGAATCTTAATACACACTTTTTTTTTTTTTTTTTTATCTTGTCATCTCCATCACTTCTGTTTGTTTTGGTCCACTTTTATTTTATTTTATTTTTTTTTAAGATTTTATTTATTTATTTGACAGAGAGAGATATAGTGAGAGCAGGAACACAAGCAGGGGGAGTGGGAGAGGGAGAAGCAGGCTTCCCGCAGAGCAGGGAGTCCGATGTGGGACTCGATCCCAGGATCCTGGGATCATGACCTGAGCCGAAGGCAGACGCTTAACGACTGAGCCACCCAGGCGCCCTGTTTTGGTCCACTTTTAATGTTGTGGTTTTTTCATAGCTCTTGGGCTTCCTATGGAGGTTCTAAAGATATTATTCCCAAGTGGTCCTCTCTCCAGACTGGGAGACACAAGTGAGGGCTGCCTGAGGCGGGGAGGGCGTGCTAAAAGTCAGCTTGTGTCGGTTGCAGGCTGGAAGGCTAGGGGCCCATACCATTGCCACAGTAAGAAAGTTTCTTTCCGGGCGCCTGGGTGGCTCAGTTGGTTAAGCGACTGCCTTCGGCTCAGGTCATAATCCTGGAGTCCCGGGATAGAGTCCCGCATCGGGCTCCCTGCTCGGCAGGGAGTCTGCTTCTCCCTCTGACCCTCTTCCTTCTCGTGCTATCTCTCATTCTCTCTCTCTCAAATAAATAAATAAAATCTTAAAAAAAAAAAAAAAGTTTCTTTCCTTCCCTAACTCTCCTTTTTCCTCTTCTCCCCTGTTCTTTTTCTGCTTAGCATTTGTTGTTGTTCCCCCTCCAGCCCCAACCTAACTTGCTCCCCTCCCCAGGAGATTCTCCTCTTTTCAGGGAGCAGTTCCAGGAGAAAGTCATGACTGGTCCTGCTGCTCTATAGGCCATCCTTACATTTCTACCCACTGTTCTTTTCCTACGAGTTTGGCAGTTTTCTTTGGCTCTGCTGGGAAGAACAGATCTCACTCCTACAGTTTCATTTGTTCTTTTTCTGTTTTTCTGTAAATTCAGATAGCTGCTGTCTTATCTCAGAAATCCCTCGATTTATGCTGTGCCAGTGGCAGCCTTGTTTTCCACTACTGTTGTGGGTTTATTCTATTTTTAATGTCTTCTCTATTGTTTTGATAAAATTTTGGTAGAGTGGGGAAACAAGATCTTCATGTCACCATTCACGCACTTCCTTGGAGTGGAAATTTTGAGATCAGACTGCCATCTTTAAATGGAAGAATTTTTATTTAAAAAGCCTAAGCAAGTAATTCAGTATCTGTTTGAGTGTTTCCTGTATACAGGTACTATACTAAAATATTTCAGATAACTACATATAGTCCGTTTTCATGAAGTATCTAGTATGGCTGGAAATGCAGGTAGTTGCAGTGCTGTGATCAGAGAAATAAACTAGATTGGCAGGTGTCAGGTTCTAAACCGAACTCAGTTAAAACTAGGCAGCAAGAGAATGAGACCAGTAGGGCATACTCTCTGTAGAAGGGACAGCATGTTCAAAAAATGAGAAGGTGAAACCAAACATGATGTGTTTAAGGTTGTTAAAGGATATTTTTTGTTTTGGATCTTTCATTAAAAGCTGTCATTCAGGGGCCCCTTGGTAGCTCAGTCGGTTAAGCGTCTGCCTTCAGCTCAGGTCATGATCTCAGGGTCCTGGGATCGAGCCCTGGGGCAGACTCCCTGCTTCTCCCTCTCCCTCTGCCCCTCCGCCCTGCTCGTGCTCTCTCCCTCTCTCTCTCTCTCTCACAAATAAATAAAATCTTAAAAAACAAAACTGTCGTTCAGTTATCAAACACATGTGTACAATCTCCATATTTTTGTTTTTCCCACATTCACTATTTCTTTTAGCCTTTCAGTAATGACGACAAGCATATCTGTCAGATGTGAAATTTGTTCTTTAAACAGATGTACAATGACTAACATATCATTAAAAATAGCACTTCAGTGGCATGCCAATCTTTGGGCCTTTTCCATTTTTCTTCTGTCTTGTGACCTGTTTTACCTCCTATTCATCCTTCAAATATCACTTAAACATTACTTCCTCTGAAAAACTTCCCTTAACCAATTCTAGACAAAGGTTGGGGTTCTTCCTCCTACATAGTATTATACTTCCTTTATCAAAGTTATCATTATTGGGGTGCCTGGCTGGCTCAGTAGGGCATGCAGTGTAGCTCTTGATCTCAGGATCATGAGTTCAAGCCCCATTGGGCTTAGAGCTTACTTAAAAAAAAAAAAAAAACCCCACGAAGTTACTATTAACCATACTGTAAACTACATGTGGGCAGAGATTGTGTTTTGCTTATCATTGTATTTCTAGCACAGTGTCCAGCACCTGTTATAAGTGAATGGAAGAATTAACTTATTGCCATTTTGTTAAGATTTACAGTGACAGATGTCGCCAACTAATAAATGGCTTTGAGATTCTTCAGGAATAAGCTTCTGAATAGAACTCCAACAAATCAATAATTTTTGCCACCTAAGAGTTTTCATTGAAAACTGAAACTACCTGAAACGTGTGTATTTTAAAAGTGAAATCGAAACTAATATACTTTGATCATTTTAATTACCTGCCTACATGATACCACTCTATTAGGACTCTGCCCTGACCCAAGAATAGAGCATAAGTTGTTAAGAGATGAATGCTAAATACAGTGACTTGTTTTTTCCCCCCATGCAAACAGAGAGAGTCACTAAAGTTGGTGAGATCCATGTGAAGACATTAGAAGAAATTCTTCTTGAAAAAGCTAGTCAGAAACGTGGAGAATTGCAACCTAAACTCAAGACAGAAGGACCTTCAAAAGTTGATGATTCTACTTTAGGAACAAGAAGCCCCTCCACTATCCGAATCAAAACTTTCTCTGAGGTCCTGGCTGAAAAGAAACATCGGCAGCAGGAAGCAGAGAGGCAAAAAAGCAAAAAGGATGTAACTTGCATCAAGCTAAAGACAGATAGTGAAATTAAAAAAACAGTGGTTCTGCCACCTATAGTTACCAGCAAAGGACAATCAGAGGAGCCCGCAGGTAGAACAAAGTCTATGCAGGAGGTGCACATCAAGACACTGGAGGAAATTAAACAGGAGAAGGCACTGCGGGTACAGCAGAGCTCTGAGAGCAGCACCAGCTCCCAGCCTCAGCTTGAGGCCGCCCCAGGGGCAAGGCGGCTTCTCCGAATCACAAAAAAAACAGGTAACACCACAGTTTGGTCTGGGGGCGCCTGGGTGGCTCAGTCGTTAAGCTGTTAAGTGTCTCCCTTGGGCTCAGGTCATGATCCCAGGGTCCTGGGATCGAGCCTGGGCTCCCTGCTCCGCGGGAAGCCTGCTTCTCCCTCTCCCACTCCCCCTGCTTGTGTTCCTGCTCTCGCTGTCTCTCTCTGTCAAATAAATAAATGAAATCTTAAAAAAAAATAAAGTAATGGGGGGCCTGGGTGGCTCAGTCGTTGAGCGTCTGCCTTCGGCTCAGGTCATGATCCCAGGGTCCTGGGATCGAGCCCTGCATCGGGTTCCTGCTCCGTGGGAAGCCTGCTTCTCTCTCTCCCACTCCCCCTGCTTGTGTTCCCTCTGTCACTGTGTCTCTGTCAAATAAATTTTAAAAAACAAAACCAAAAAAACACCACAGTTCGGTCTGTAGTACCATTTCCCCAGATCATATTTCAGAGTCCAGAGTGCTAACCATTACACCATGGAACCCACTTCCCCAGATCATATTTCAAAGGGCAGTATTCCACAGGATTTTCATAGTTCTGTGAGAACTTTACTCAGATAACTTTGAAAACCACTGGATCAAATGAAGTTAAGCTCTTTCTTTACAGGAGTGCTATAGAGACCTTTGATATTTTAAGGTGCATTTTGAAACTTTATGAGGGCAAATGGGCTTCATCTACAATTTTATTTGTCCTATCTTATCTTTATTTTCATTAAGAAAAATTTTACTTAAACTGTTCCTGAAGTTGCAGCCTAAATGAAATAATTAATGATGCGTTTAATGTGAACATAGGTATGAAAGAAGAGAAGAAACTTCAAGAAGGAAGTGAAGTTGCTTCCCAGAGCAGTGTTATTAGAACAGAGGCTAAAGAGGTGAGTTTAAGATCATTTCATAGTTTTGTTCATGGCAAGCAAAGGCCAGATGAATGATAAAATGTGCCTTTTAGTTTTAGCATAATAAATTTTTAACGTTTCAATAATAAATTAGGTAAACAGTCTTTCATTATGCTTATACTATTCTATGAGAATTTTCTGTACTTCTGTTTATAATAGTGTTCTCTGCCCCCTTAAAGTTGTTTTTTTTAATTTGGCCATTTAACGTTTTTGAAGCTAAGCCTAATGGCACTCATTTTACAAAACTTGGGGACTTTTTTTTTTTTTTTTAAGAATTAAAAACCCTCTAATTCTGCAACCCAGACATAACAACCATTAGCTTTTTTCATGGGTTTTTCTCAAGCCTTTTATTTATGTACATATGTATGTGAACTTGTTCATTGTTTAACTCATGTTTAGAAAGTAATTGAGAACTCTATAGTGTATCATTTTGCAGCCTGCTTTAATTTTACTATATTCGTAATTCTTCAGGATGTTTGTTTTTACTGACCATGACATAATTTTCTATTACATCAATATAGTCTGCTTCTGGACATTTATATTTTGTTTTACACAGTTAAGGTAATGAACATCCTTGTCCATAAATCCTTGTGCAAGTGTCTGATTATTTAGGAGGCATTTGTATTTGACTTAGGGTCATGATTGTCTAAGCCTATAAAATTGGGGTTTTCATTGTTCCATACATCTTTAACTTTTCATCTTTAGCTTGGTATTTTCTATTTAATATCAAAGAGCAAAAGCTCTGGTGTTCTGGGTCGTGTTAAACTCTGCTTGACATGGATGTCAGCCCAGTAACTTAAACAAGATTTTCTTAATCGAGATGAAATTGACATATTTATATTAGTTTTGATATATTTATATTAGTTTCAGGTGTACTTTTTTCTTTTAAACAAGTTTTTGTTTTGTTCTGTTTTTAAGATTTTATTTTTTAAGTAACCTCTACATTCAGCGTGGCGCTCGAACTCACAACCTCGAGATCAAGAGTCACTTGCTCTATCAACTGAGCCAGTCAGGCACCCCAAGTTTTTTCTCGGTGGTGGTGGTGGTGGTGGTGGTGGTGGTTTTAATTGAGCTATAAAGCCTGGTAACTTACAAATAATAATTATCATACAGATTGTTAGAGGTATGAAATTTTAAATCTGTCATTTAAATTTGCCCACAGGCTTCAGAAGAGACCACAGGAATTGGCATCACCAAAATTCAAGTCAAGAGGTGTGAGACCATGAGAGAGAAGCACATGCAGAAACAGCTGGAGAGGGGCACCTCACAGAAGGAAAAATCGGTTTTGACACTCCTCCGGGGAGACGTAGACTCTTACAATACTCAGATAGCAGAGAAGCCGGTGCTCACTACAGTGCCAGGCCTCACACGGCACCTGACCAAGCGGCTTCCCACAAAGCCATCCCAGAAGGCAGAGGTAGAAACCTCAGGCATTGGGGACTCAATACTGAATGTGAAATGTGCAGCACAGACCTTGGAAAAAAGGGGTAAAGGTGAGTGGTTTTTCTAGTGTATCTTCCTTTAGGATTTGAAAATTACCAAGTTTCCAGTAACTGCCTAGCAACAATTAAGTTAAATTCCATTTGTGTTGTATACTTGTCACACAGGTGGAAAGTGGTATTTGTGATAATTCTACCTAAAAAGACAAAGCTCCTTTCTCAGAATTTAAAATTGCTGTTTAAAAAGCTTTGTCTAGGGGCACCTGTGTGGCTTAGTCAAGTAAGCCTTGGGCTCAGGTCACGGGCTCCCTGCTTAGTGGGGAGTCTGCTTCTCCCTCTCTCTCTCCCCCTCCCCCTGCTCGCCCACTCAAATAAATAAAATCTTTCAAAAATAAAAGTAAACAAAAAATAAAAAGCTTTGTCTAAAGGTTGCTTTGGCAGCACATATACTACAGTTGGAATGCTCCAGAGAAGATCAGGATGGCCCCTGTGCGAGGATGACACACAAATTTAGGAAGCATTCCATGTTTTTAACTAAGTCATGGGGACGTAACATAGCATGGTGACTGTAGTTAACAGTACTATATTACGTATTTGAAAGTTGCTAGGAGAGTAGGTCTTAAACGTGCTCACACAAAAAAATTGTAACTGTGTGTGGTAATGGATTAACTAGACTTACTGTGGCTATCATATAGTCACGATATGTACAAATATTAAGTCATTATGTTGTATACCCAACACTAATACAATGTTTTATGTCAGTTATATATCAGTGGGGGAATAAAAGCTCCCTGTGATGCATCTTTCCTCTGGTTTTGAAGAAGGAAAACACCAGGGAATGGAAGAACAGTAGCGAATTCAGGAGCCAGTGAAAGGAATTGAGTATACATCTACATTATGACCACATTGTAGTGCACATTGTTTATGGGTTATTTTCACTTTGGGGGTGTGTATGATATTTCTAGTATTGTGAAGGAATTTTGATGTCTAAAGTTACTCTCCATGTAAAAGAGGAATCATTCTGGCTATTAATCAGATGTTTTCTGTCCCTTGTAGCTAAACCCAAAGTCAATGTGAAGCCATCTGTGGTTAAAGTGCTCTCATCCCCCAAATTGGCCCCCAAACGCAAGGCAGTGGAGGCCCACCCTGCTGTCATTGCAGCTGTGAAGCCACTCAGCTCGAGCAGTGTCCTACAGGAAAGCCCCACCAAAAAAGCAGCTGTGGTAAGAAGTAGATCCAGCTAAATGGTGCTTTGGTTCCTGTGGGAGGAAAGCAGGGAAGAGTCACTCTGCTAGCTCTGTGTGCTACCTTTGCCATTTCCGAAGCATTTTAGTTGTTTAGGTTGTCACTGTATTCTACGTTCACAGACATTTTTGGAGTGGCAGAATGGAATTTGTTTGTTTTTTTTTAAGCTAATTCTTGGGTGGCAAGTTACTTTTATTTCTGCACTCAGCCTTTGGATTACTTATTCTCAGACTGCCAGGCTTAAAGAATGATAACCATGGTTCTAAGAAAGTGGCAGAGTAAATGAATATGCTCAAACAAAAGAAGCCTGACTCCCACTGAGTTAACCTTCCTTTGACTTTTGTAGGCGGTTGTCCCACTCCTTTCTGAGGACAGGTCAGTCACTGTGCCTGAGATGGAAAAACCTAGAGACAGGTAAACCTTGCAATTCTTCTTAACCAAACTTTAGGCCACTACTATTATTTATGTGCTCTAGAGAATGACACTGCTAAATAAATCTTCAAACGTGTCCAACTTAGCCACTCAGACCAACTTAATAGCGAACTTAAATCTGCTAAACTTCCAGTTAATTACAAGAGAACATGATATGCATGCAGGGTTGCTGTTCTCCTTTGGTGCCGCTGTTTATATATTGATTGCATTATTTTTGCAGTGTTTTCTATATCTGTCTGAATTGTGCTTTAAACGGGTGACAAATGCCTCGCCAGATCAGTAAAATAGTTCTGTTATGTCGTTAATCAGAAATAACTCTTTGTGTTCCTGAGACCGACGTGGGACCATTCAGTCAGCCATTAACAAAGGGCAGTTTTCTAATCTTTTGGGTTTTTTCCCTTGCAGTCTTGTGCTGCCTCCAACCCAGTCCTCTTCCGATTCCTCCCCACCAGAAGTATCTGGCCCTTCTTCATCTCAGATGGCCACGAAAACTCGCCGACTCAGCTCCACCTCAACAGGAAAGCCCCCGCTTTCTGTGGAGGATGATTTTGAGAAACTAATATGGGAGATTTCAGGAGGCAAATTAGAAGCTGAGATCGACTTGGATCCTGGGAAAGATGAAGATGACCTTCTGCTTGAGCTATCAGAGATGATTGATAGCTGAAGGCCGTAGAACATTTAAAAAAAAAAAAAAACAAAAACAAAAACTGGACTTAGTTTCATCTATTATAACATTTACCCAAGATGATCATTTCTTTAGTCTAGAATTTGCCCCCAATCAGAAGTATACCTCTGAACTACCTGTATGTGTCCTGGATTCCTTGGGGTCAGATTTTTAAAGTCCCTTGATAACCATTTTGTCCATTCGATACCATGGTTTAGCATCTATGAGGAAAATGTTCTTACACCTCCCCACAGAAAAACTGAGAGGGAGATCCAAGTCAAAGGGTGCAAGAGAACTTAGTGACTCCTTGAGGTGTTTGTCAGTTTGGGCTTTTTTCCTCTTTGCTGTAGTATTTCTTTTATGTATTGTCTTAATGGACTTATTAATGTAACCTGAGTTTGAAAAGGATGAAGACCAGCTGCTGCCAGTGAGGACCAAATTTCACACTACCACTAAACAAAAGATCCACTCTGTCTGCGTTAAATTGTATGTCTTTTTAAAGGTATTTGGAGATTCATCTAAGCTTTAGAGAAGGCTGAGCAGCTCTGGAAGCTTGTAATCTGGACATAACTTTTCAACCTGATTTCCATGCTTCTGCTGCTCTGTCAGCCTCTGAAGAGCAATAGCTGATTTATTATTACTGTAATTTTTTAAGGCTTTAAAGTGCCTCAGGGGTCCTCTGAAACTAATTTTCTATTTCTGGGATTCCCTGGATTCTTAATAAGAGATGGTGACATCATGATTAGAGGAATTCTTTTTTTAGCATGAAAGTTGTCCTTTCTCTTCTTCAATACTCGCCTCCTACTGGCATTGAATTCTCACAGGGATTAAAATTGGTTAATTTTTTATTTCTAACTCTCCCAGCAAACTCCTCTTGCCCAGTTATTTATTTGGTGCCCTTTAACCACCAGAGGGGAAAAAATGAACTCCTCCAAGCTGCCAATATTTATCTCTGGACTGTAGCAGTACACCGAATTGTACTGTAGCGGGGATGATTGAGATGCTCTGGGGGTGTATTGTATACCTTCCAGTTTTCTTCATGTCTGAATTGAATTTTCTTTTCTTGATGTCAGTCTCCTTCATATCACCTCAAGGTTTAGACTTGTGAAGGAACAAGTATGATGGGGATACGAGTCTTGAAAGGAGACATATTGTACGTAATCAGAAGGAAGAGGAAAAAAGGACTTGTCCGTTTTGATACTTTGCTGTAGGTGGCCAGTTTTGTTTCTCATAGGGAAATCTGATCCACCTGTCGTGTTGGCTCCTAAGGAACTGCTGTTGTAAGCGGCTCATCAAGAGTTGAACCTCATGTAGCCTTGTTGGGAATATGGAAAAGGAAGAAAGCCACAGGACTGCCCATTCAGTCTTGGGAAGATCTGGATGATTCTGCACACAAGCAAAAATGACTTGAAATTTATGTACAGACACCTCTCTACCAATCCATCTTCAGCTGACTGAATGTTGTATAATAGCCCTTCTCCAAAGCAGGGGTGGAATGTTCTGGTTTCACCACAGATTTTCTACTCATTTCATTTTTGGAATCAGCTTAAAGATTCCAGGACCCTTTTGTATATAACCTTTATTCTTTTTCTTTTTTAAAAATAATTTTGTTTCATATTTAAAGTCCTTGTATTAGTCAATGATTCATGTTCACCATTATTTGAACCATTTGCCATTACAAGAAAGAGAAATACTTATTTGTGTTTTAAATAAAACTGGTGTAGGAAAGTCTGGACTTAATGAGTTAAGTGGTCATACATCACTTCAGCCTAGGATCTGCCTCAATGGGGGGGGTCCAGTCAGAATGTTGTTGGCCTCTTTTGTAAATGCTCCAATTTCACAGATGCTGTGTGGCTTTAGAAACTTCTCACAAGGACGTATTGCCAAACTTACCCAGAAGTATGCTGTTTTAGCCACATATATTTTAGGAAAGAAGTAACATTATTAAATGGGGAGGATTTTATCATTGTAACTCAGGTAATGCCATTAATTTTTTAAAGATTCATTTTTTTATTTTAGAGGGCATGTGCACACCAGTGGGGAGATGGGCAGAGGGGGAGAGAGAATCCCAAGCATATTCCCCTTGAGCACGGAGCCCGATGCAGGGCTTGATCTCACGTCCCTGAGATCAAGACCTGAGCGGAAATCAAGAGTCGGACGTTTGACAACCGAGCCACCTGGGGACCCCAATGCCATTTAATTTTTTTAAAGGAGAGAGGATTTAGAAATGATCTTAGATGGATTCATTTAAGAACTTTGAAGCATGAAGTCATATAAAAAATTTCAGCGAAGTCCCAAGTGTTAAGTAGTATGCCAGTTTTTAAGGGAATACACATAAATTTGTTAGCAACCAACAACATAGATTTTTTTCCTAATAGTCTAAACAAGTTCAACTTTTCACAAAAACAGATTGGGGGCTTCTGGGTGGCTGGCTCCCCTGTTAGCAAGGGAGTCTGCTTGAGATTCTCTCCCTTTGCCCCAACCCCCTTCGTGCACACTTGTGTGTGCACGCCCTCTCTCTATAAAATAATCTTTTAAAAAAAAATCAGAAACATTGTGTATTGGGTTTTAAGTGATGACGGTTTTCAGTTTTAACAGAAGAGGGCCCAAATGGGGACCCCGGGGTGGCTCAGTCAGTTAAGCATCTGCCTTCAGCTCAGGTAATGATCCCAGAACCCTGGGATCAAGTCCCGCATCCGGCCCCTTGCTCAGCAGGGAGCCTGCTTCTCCCTCTGCTTGTGCTCTTTCTCTGACAAATAATCTTTTTAAAAAAAGGGGGGGGGGTCCAAATGTTGCAGTTCGGCCATAGCCAAAGTTTCAAGATAGTTTGTGACTCATGTTTTTGTCTCAAGATAAATGATCCCTAAAGTTCTGACCTTAACTTCAAATTCCAATAGGTCCTCTCAGATGACCAAAACAGAGTTTATTTTCACCTCTCCAATCTTTGAAACCACCACAGAGTTAGATTGATAACTAATACTGTTTCAGAAATAAAGCTTAATCTGTGTTGATCAAAGTACAATGTTATTTTTCTAAAATTGTGGCCTCATTTTGCCGGAATATTTCGGCAGTTCTTTAAAATGGATTGCTTTTTGGGCGCCTGGGTGGCTCAGTTGGTTAAGCAACTGCCTTCGGCTCAGGTCATGATCCCGGAACTCCGGGATCGAGTCCCACATCGGGCTCCCTGCTCAGCAAGGAGCCTGCTTCTCCCTCTGACCCTCCCCCCTCTCATGTACTCTCTCTCTCTCATTCTCGCTCTCTCAAATCTTCAAAAGAATGGTGCCAGAGTTGATACAAATTCATGCACATATCTCTCAGTTATCTACTCCATAATATCAATAATGCATACTCAATAAAATAATACTAAAAAAATTTTAAAAAATGGATTGCTTTTTGTCAGTTTAGCAACAGGAAATGGGTGGTCTCCAGTTGCTGTCTAATATTTAAACAACATGCTATGCTACACTGGAAGATCACTGCTTTATATCATCACTGTAGTGTCAGTACATTCCTATGTGCAATTGGGTTTGATCTATTGACTTTCAAGAGCTCTTTATTTCTTAAATCTGATATTAGGAAGCTGCTTGATAGATCTTTGCAAGTTCCCACAACCCACACATCAGACTGCATTAATAACTTATTCTCCAAACTGTGCTTCAACTTAATTGAATTTGCAAAATGATGTTAAGGGCATGAGCATAAAGAAAATTCTTGATCTTGACCATTTTCTTAACATTGTACAATAAAATGAGCAAAGATTCAGCAAAAACTAAGGAGTCACAGATTTCCTGGGAGCCTAAGAGGAAAGTACTCAGGTTGTATTTAACTGCTAAGGTGTTAGGCTGAATCTATGGTGATGAGCAAGAAGCAGTGGATTCAAACTTGGCATTGCCTGTCCCTGGGTTTTTTGGGTCTTTGGCCCCATGTCTGGTTTGTCCTCAGGAGTAAGACAACAGCCTGCAGAGTTAAGAGTAAGGGTAAGCAGAGCCAGTCAGATTCTGAAGAAAGAGAAGAAAAACTATTCAAATAGCCTCTTGTTTGTTGAATAAGTGAAATAGGGAATTGGCTGGATCAAGAAGACTAGAAACGAGAAATTTCAAGGGAAGAGTGAAGCAAAATGGAAGGAATCCTTACCTGACAGGTGTATATGGTGAAGGAGGTCCCTTCTTTGGGTTGGGAATCTCAAGGAGGGTGGCCGAGCTTAGAAAAACAAGGGAACATGAAATTAACACAGCATAACTGCCACAAAGTATTTTGGACTCCCACCCCTTGAAGAGACTCAAAATAGAACCTAAATTCTAACCATCACTTAACACTGTCACCAGGAAGAGGAGTATGATGCAAACCCCTGCCCAAGAAATAGAGGAAGTACTTTTAAGAGAAAGGTATCAGGGGGCGCCTGGGTGGCTCAGTTGGTTAAACCGCTGCCTTCAGCTCAGGTCATGATCCCAGGGTCCTGGGATCGAGCCCCACATTGGGCTCCCTGCTCATGCGGGAAGCCTGCTTCTCCCTCTGCCTGCCGCTCCCCCTGCTTGGCTGTCTCTCTCTCTCTCGCTCGCTATCTCTGTGTGTCAAATAAATAAAATCTTTAAAAAAAAAAGAAAGGTATCAGGAATGAAGTAGGTGCAAGTATAAGTAGATGATGCTATAGAGGGAATGAGAAGTCAGTTTGAGACTGGTCAGGAAAGTCTTCCTTGAAGTGTCAGAGCTGGAGTTTTGTGTAGCTTGCCTAGCAAAGGAGATGGTGTGAGCTACTAACAAGGCCAACACAGCAGGTAAGGTTTGTTTACAGTGACCTCTGACCATCCCATTGGTACTTTCTCAGGCTCTGCTTTGTCTTATTCTTGCTCTCAATTTGCTGTCAACCATTCTTGGCTTAAGTGTAAACTGATCTTTTAATCAAAGATTTTAAATGCAAATCTGAGTCACTGCTTTGAAAAGTCTTCCAATCTTTCCCTCTCCCTCCACAATTATATTCAGGTCCCTTAGCATAGCATGCAAGGCCCTGTCCTCCCAGCCTCCTGCCTCACCCTTGATGCTCTCCACTCCAGCAAAACTACAAGCCGTCCACTTCCCTTGAACACTAATCTCTCTCCAGCCCTTTACCTTTGTTAACGCTGTCTTTCTCCCTAGAAGTCTCCTCTTTTGGCTAACTCCTACACATCCTATGGCCTCCAGGCTACTCTCCCAACACTCTATTCTTCCTCTCCCCAAATTGGGGTTTGGTGTCCATCCACCAGGCATACGCTGTTTGTTTACCTCCACCATTTTTAAAATTGTTTCCCTGTCCAACCTCCTCAGCAGAACAGAAACTTGAGACAGAGATTCTTACTGACCTATATATTCTCAATACCTAGTATCATAACAAAATACCACAGACTGGATGGTTTAAGCAACAGAAATTTATTTTCTCTCAGTTCTGGAGGCTAGAAGTCCAAGATAAGGTGTTTGAAAATTTTTTTCTGAGGCTTCTCTCTGGTTTGCAGGTGCCACCTTCTCTGTCCTCATGTGGTCTTTCCTCTACGTGTACATGTCTGTATTTTAATGTCTCTACGGACACCAGCCGTCTTGGATTAGGGCCCACCCATATGACTTCATTTAACCTTAATTACCTCTTTAAGAGCCTATCTCCAACTATAGTCACATTCTGAGATGCTGGGGGGTTAGAGCTTCAATATATGCGTTTCAAGGAGCACACTTCAGCCCACAACAAAAGGCATTCAATAAACATTTGCTGAATGAATGAAAAAGCTCTTGGCCCATATACCCATGTCAGCGGCTGCCAAACTTTGCTAGACTGCCCTGTCTTTGCAACCCCATTCTTTGGAATGCTTATCAATAACATTCAGCAAGCTGTGAGATGGAAGGAACTTCACGCTAAGAGGAAGGATGTTCTTCAGTATTTAGGAGGCCCGGAACTGACTCTTTTCTTTGGGTACATCTCTTTGGTATTTGTTGTTTTTTAAAAATTTTATTTTTAAGTAATCTCTACACCCAGCTGGGGCTCAAACTCACAACCCCAAGATCAAGAGTTGCACGCTCCACTGAATGAGCCGGCCAGGCGCCACTCGGTATATCTCTTTGGACCAGTGATTTTTTTTTTTTAAGATTTTATTTATTTGACAGAGAGAGAGACACAGCGAGAGAGGGAACACAAGCAGGGGGAGTGGGAGAGGGAGAAGCAGGCTTCCCGCGGAGCAGGGAGCCCCATGCGGGGCTCAATCCCAGGACCCTGGGATCATGACCTGAGCCGAAGGCAGACGCTTAACGACTGAGCCACCCAGGCACCCCTGGACCAGTCATTCTTAATTAAGGCTATTTTACAGACACCTCTGGGAGTGTCTTGAAAATCTCAAATTTTGCAAGAATGTTATGATTAGTTGTAATTTAAAAAGAGAAACTAGTTTCATAGTACCTTCCACTACCTAATGAATTTACGGAACTGGTGATACAGTTGACCCTTGAACAACACCAGTCTGAACTACACAGATCCACTCATATATGGATTTTTTTTTAAAGAGTTGACAGCAAAAGCCACAAGGCATTTATCTACAAATGCCCAACCCAGTCTTCAAGGGACCCAACAGAAGGCAACTGATACAGGCATCAAGTCCGCCACCCTCTAAATTCTCGGGAGGCCTCTGAGGCCCTCAGCAGCCCCTGGAAGCCCCAGGACCCGGCAGGGCAGTAGGTCGCCCTGTGTGCCTACAGGGTGATCAAGTTGAGTGCCG